TCTGCTGCCCCTTCCGCCGACGAGGACAAAGATATTCTTGGATTCGACGCGCTTGAGTTGGACTATTCGGTTCCGTTCCCTCTGTCACTGGTCATCAGCCGCAAAACTGTTCTACGGTACCAACTTATTTTCCGCCACCTTCTATCGCTGCGCCATCTTGAGACGCTGCTGGTCACGTCCTGGGCAGATCAGAACAAGACCATCAGCTGGCGGCATAAATCTTCTGATCGACGGCTTGAGATATGGAAACGGCGCGCATGGAACTTACGCGCGAAGATGTTAGTCTTTGTCCAGCATCTTTTATACTTCTGTACGGCTGAGGTCATTGAGCCCAACTGGGTGGGCTTGATGGATCGTGTCAACAGGGTCCATGCCGATGCGTCGGAGGCGGAGGGAAATAATATGAAGCAGGCCAACCGGACGGTTGATGAGCTGATGCAAGATCATGTGGATTTCTTGGATACATGTTTGAAGGAATGCATGCTCACGCAGGCTAAACTGTTGAAGGTACGTTTCTTGACGTTATCGGTGGTCTTCATACTAATAACTACATAGATCCATTCGAAACTGATGACTTGCTGCACAATGTTTGCTTCCTGGACTGCTGCATCACTTTCACGGGCCTTAGCTTCAGCCGATCCCGACTTAGCTGGAGGCAAAGTCCCTGGGGCAGATGCCAGAGGATATGATCCCACGCGGATCGGAAAACTCGAAGACACGCTGAAAAGATACGAGGACCATTTCTCGCGCCATCTCCGCATCTTGATGGACAGGTGAGTAACATTATTGGAAATACACATCACTGTTCCATGTGCCCTAACACGAACATACAGTTTAAATTACTTCGCTGCAACGGAGAGTGTGGTGCTCCTGAAGCTTGCGCACTCCTTGACCTCCATTAGCCGAGAGGAGAGTAAAGAGGATTGAAAGCTCGCAATCCCTTGCCCTGTGTCTTTTACACACTGATATTGTTATCAACATAATCAACCCACGACAGAGATGCGGCTTGATGCGCTGGCTATGGGTAGAAGCAAAGGGCTTCAGCCCCAGCACGTTTGCTAGCTGCCACGTAAATCTCGGTGGTGTCAATACATATGCCACGGACTTCGGGCTGCGGATTCCGCTGCGGATTCCCGAACTCCGCAGCACCGAGCATCATCAGACCCTCCGAAATGGGGTCCAAACGGGCCATATCGCACTTGATCAAGCCCCTTCTGTGGGGCCGTGGACGTCCGCCAGATTATTGTACCTAGACCCATGAACCGAGTCATGCCAGATGTCGGAATTAATGATAATACGAGTAGCATAGCGAAACGAAACCCATCACAATGTGAAGTGTACACTCCGTATATATATTATATATATAGCCCTAACTGATAAAAAACCGGAGACCACGCGAATTCCTCGGGATCGCGTCAGCAAGCTATTTCTCACGTCAGCCGGATTTGGCTATACAAGACGACCATTGTTATTTAATGACAAAAAAATCCGGAAATCTGTCAGGTCTTAGTGAAGCAAAGAACAAAAAAGACAAACCCCTACAAACCCCCCAAGACCCTGTATACAGTCGACACAAACACCACAAACATGCCAATAACCACCCTCACCTCCGTCCTCCGCCAATTCACCCCCCACACAGCCCATGACCGCCTAACACTAGCCCTCAGCGCCACAGCGCTAGTTGTCTCGACGCTCATCTTCCCCGCCGCCTACCGCGACTACAAACTCTTCAAATCCTACGGCCCGGGCGGGATCCCGAACAACGCGCTGGGATGGATTATCGTGCGCGCGCTGTTCCAGCCATTCGGGCGCGAGATGTTCAGCACGGACGAGTACGTGAGACGGATTGCGGCAGCTGAGGGTCACGGAAAGGGTAATGATGGGTTTTTATCGCTATCCGAAGAACAGCTGGGGTCTCGACGTGGGGAGGAGAAACCTGTTGTTGGACCGCATGTTGTACCGCAGCGGCAATTGACGCAGGTGCCCGATGAGGCCATTATGGAGGTATGTTGTGTATCGGTCTTTCTCTTGATAGGGACACGGGGATTGAAGGGCTATTAGCTAAATTGTGTCTTGGTAGAAATTCCGGGCTGCGTTCGTCGCGTTCGGACGTCGGAATCATCATCTTGTGAAATTCCAGAAATCAAATCTCGAACGACATGCTGACGGACTCTTTGTCGCGGATCATATTCCCGTTTCTGGGATTGCGGAAACTATGAAGCGGGAGATTGCGCATATTCATTCGGGAAATGATCACTCGGTTCATATGATTCTTGCGCCGGCCGATTGTATGTTTTCCTCTTCTTTCTGTGCCTGGGTGAGGGTGTTTACATTGCTTTTAGGCATTAAGGTTATTGAGGCTGGCTGGGGCCAGCGTCATGCTTTCTCGGGTACATCTGCGATGACGTTTCTTTCGCTAGGTACGAGGCCTGATATCCCAGCAGAGTATGTTTTGATCTATGCTCCGCGAACGGAAGCAGAAATCGAGACGGTCATGCAGATTGTTTCGGCGAGTGTGGAGTTTATGACGGAGAGGGAGGATGTGCGGTAGGCCAGTGCGTGCTTTTTGTACTGACCTTATGCTTGAAGGGGTACTGGTGGTGTTCTCAGATGGATGCATTCTTATGGTGTATGCGTTGGGTTTAGTTTCTTCCTGTTCTCTGTGTAGCTTTATATACCCCACTCTTCAATTTAAATATATAAATTCATGCTATTTATATGAGCAATCGCGAGAATATTTCCCCGATGAGGGAGTACGTATACCTGCGATATTGAGGCTAGATATCACATTTGAGTGGAGAGACCGTGGGTATATACTGTTAACTATATTGCAGGTATGGACCAATGTCTCACTTTGTTCTCTTAATATACGCTCACCAGCACAATAGTAGTTTCCTATTTTTATCGTTTTTTTTTTATGCTCTGCTTTGTATAACCTGACCTCTCCCGTGGTCTGGTAATTCCTCGCCTTGGATCTTTCCATATGATCTCTGAATGTACGAAGCGCAAATAAAGAAAGAAACAACCGATGTCTCCCACCTATCCACTTTTACAATGAATATAAATATGAATGGCTTCTTTGCTTCTGCATTCAAGATACTCGGAACTAATCATTATGGCGAGTGCTCTAGGCTGGCTCTATGGATATGAAACTGGGCTACTATCATCTACTAGTATCAACTCGGACCGAGGACGTAGGAGTGCCTTAATCAATAATCTCTCGCAACAACCTTAGTGGCATAGCAAAAGGAAAAAAGCGTGAAGGAATCGTACTGTGTACACGGATGTCCTGGCGGGAAAATATTTGTCATTGCATGATATATAATGCAATAGGGGGTTTCATGTGTAATTCAAGCCGAGTAATTTGCCGATCGTCATACAATGTCAGGATATGTTAGTATATCTCAAGTCGTACCAAGACAGCTCTACGGAGTACGTTAGTAAATATATAGCGCATGCATATGGTAGAATGGAGTAAGTGGCTCGTACTAGACAAGAAAGCCACGTATTCACCGAGGGATTCTTTCTTATAAATGACCGAGAGGCTGAGTCGGTGTATGGAGAATTGAGGGGCGGTTGAATAAACCTAAATGACCCGTTATATTCCGATCAGATAGATTCGTGTATAGACATATATGACATATATGACATGGATGGACATGTATGCACATAGAGGGATAGCTCGACATCTATAGATATACACGTAAAGACTCGAAGTTGAAACATCAAAAAGGTTGGGTCCCCTTACCCGAGATGAACCATGGCGCTGGGTTTGAGGGGGACGGGTAAGCCCTGACGAAATCCCGACAGCGCGGATCGTACGTTGTATACATCCTCTGCTTCAGGAGAGACTGCTCAAATCTACAGACACATTCTAAAACCTTTGACAATAGAAACAGTGTTTACCCAGGTGAAAAGTAACCCCGATACATCAAGTCTTTGATATACCTTGCAATCCCAGATCCTCTGGAGACGGGTCATGGAGTGGGACCCGATGTTCTAAAACCAGGTATCAGGTGGGTTGGAAATAATTTCAAAGGGTTTTTTCTTGACAGGTTCGGAGACTGGAGTGGATACTACTGACATCGTTCTGGTCATTGCATACTCCGTACGGAGTACATCCTCCCAAAGGCAGTGAAGTATCCACATTCACTGGATATCTTTCCCGGCCTAGTATGCACCATGCAACAAGGCAAACCGCCATACATAAGGCAAAGAGGAGAGATATATGCAGAAGAAGGGGCAGAACAGCAAAGTACTTCTGTCTTTGGGGTATCCGGAGACAGGAATAAAAAAAAATCACCTGTAGCAAATCTCCATCCACTCTGGGAAAACTCCCTAGACAAGCGGTGAGAACGCGAAACAGGAGGGGCCAGAATAAAATCCTAAACCCAAATCCACTGAGAATCCCGAGGGACTGGATGCTCCAACGAAGATGTTGATCCTGCCCGTCGAACCCCCACTCAGGTTTGAGGGGCTGTTGGAGACAATGTGGTGAGACGTGAGTGATCGGAAGCCACTTGGCATTGCACATTGGACTCTGGAAACTGACTGGGTTTTTTTTTTTTTTTTGGTGCTTTTGGTCCAAGTGACAGCGGGAACGGTGATCCCTTTCCGGGTCTTTGGAATCGGCAATGCAGGGCTCATTTGCTCTGTACAACGTACATACGCAAGGGTAAATTCCCAGCGGGCCGCTCTTCCACTTCAATCTCTGGTCTATCATGATCCCTCAATTCTTGTCTTTTTCTTATGGGTTTCCACGTCGCAAAACGGCTGCCTTGTTGTCTTTTCATCTGTTGAAATGTTGCATAATTCGGTTTAACTGATGGGTTTGCCTTTCCCTCTCTATATCTCTCTCTTTCTTCTCACCGAGTCCTTTCGCATCATTGTTTGCCAGTGAACCCCTCGCCACTCGTGGAATCATGGTGAGTAGCCGGAGTAGGGTTCGATTCAATTTTCTGTAGACTTTAATTGCTAATGACACGGAGAATTACCCATGCCTAGCCTTGCAATCCTTCTTTGACGGGGAAGATCCCGGTCAGATGGACCGCGGCCGGATTCGCGCTCGATCCACACCGTCGGGCGCCCTTGGACCCTCCAGGAAAGTAGGTACTATGCGAGACGGCGGACTGTGCATTAGTTAAACGGCACCGCCTGATTTCAAGGTTTGCTAGCTTGTCTTTAAGCAGTGGAAACCGCTTTCGATTCTGATACTTACCCCATTTTGGTTGCCATCATCCAGAAACATTCGTGAATCACTCTTCGGCTCAACTGACCCGCATTTTTTTCCTTCTTCAAGCCTTGGTTGACGTAACGGTGCTCTAGAGTAGAGACAAGAGCCTCCTGCGAGGAGCGTCTCAGGTCATCTTGAGTAGTCCCGCTAGCAAGGATGTGAGGGAGGGTTTCGGAGTTGGCCCCAAAGAACCACATGAATGATCCAGAGGGGAGTTGTAAGTCCGCATTGATCGCATTTGGTAACCACCCACGCAGGCCCCATTCGTGCTAAATCTCGACCGTTCAGCACCCTGTGTCTTCACTATTCGATTCCTGTATTCGGTGTCTTTGAAAGAGGCAATTCGATTGGGTGGACCGGCTGGGCTTCCCCATTCGTACATTTTAGTACGTCCTTGGTATAATTGGAAGCCCCTCCATATAGCCTTCGCAAGCAGACGCCCAAGGGTGAATGATCCTCGCGTGAGCGGCCACCTTTCCCCGAGGGCGCCGCCGACGTCTTCAAGCGGCACCGGATCGCTCGCACGAAACTCTTAGCACATCAAATTCCACTCCTTTTTCGGATATTGTCATTTGAAGCAAGATCTTTGGGTCCGGAGAATTTAACCCCACACTGATCCAGTCACATCGGGATATACAAGATTGGTTTTTTCTCTTCGTCCACAACACCACTTATCTTGGGATGACAATGGCGTATGCTGGTTCTCCCCATTGTTCTTCTAGGCCAACGGCAACTGACGTTGATGGCGGCCAGGAATCCAGATTCACAAACGATAGAATTAGACCGTGAATACCTCGACACGGTCACAGTTCAGGGCCGTGAGTATCAGAAATATTCGATCGACCATCGTACGTACTTTGGACCGGTCGATGAGGTAAGATACTCAGCGTTTCATCGTCGTCTTCTCACTGACAGCCGTACCAGGAAGAAGCACAACAACTCGAAGGCCTGCAACTGGTGTTTCAAAGAATTTTCGATAATCGTCTGATCTTTCCACCGATCCGTCGACTAGAAAGAGTTCTAGACTGTGGGCATGGAGCCGCATCCTGGGCCGTCGATGTTGCTGAAGAGAATCCTGATTGCGAAGTAACGTGTCCCTTTGGTTGCGCCCGACAAGATCCTAATATTTGGTGGTTTATAGGTCATCGGTGTAGACATTGCCCCTCACATGAGTCCAGATGATATGCCTGACAACTTATGGCTCCAGGTAAGTCAACCTGACTCACTTCTCACCATGCGGGAGGGTGTGGGTTACACCATGAGAAGACCGCAACACTGCCTCTGACCATGCCTTTGTCCCGTGACATTTGTGTGATCCGCCAATCTTGAATAAGACTTCTGTTCAGGTGTGTAATCCCTTGAAAAACAGGCGCTAACATGTGCTGAACAGGTCGATGACTTGAACCGCCGTTTCACCTTTCCTGCAAACCATTTCGATCTTGTCCACTCCAGACTCCTTGCGACCGGCATCGACCGATCCCGATGGCCATCCTATCTTCGTGACATAGTCAGGTGCGAATTCTCCGGACCAGCCCGTCACCCCAAGAGGTAGGGGCTCTCTAATCAAACCCAAAGACTAACATCAGCGGTCGTCAAGGGTCCTGAAGCCGAGAGGTTGGGTCCAAATGGTGGAAATATACTTCAATGTGCAATCCGACAACGGCTCAATCACTGATGAGCATGCACTGAGGAGGTGGAGCACACAGCACCTGCGTGCTCTAGAGGACAGGAAAGATCTTCGGATCGGATCGAAGCTGAGAACTCTCATGGCAGAGGCGGGTTTTGTCGAGGTGGATACGAAAATGATTCCGCTTCCTCTGTCTGCTTGGTCGACAGGTCGGTCCCTGACTGCACAATACAATGTATGAGACTGATTGATTCAATGCAGACCAACGCATGCGAGACATCGGCCGACAAAGTCGCGCAATAATGCAGCAACTTCTCCGATCACTTGCACTATACCCATTGACTCAACGCCTGCATATGTCCCCGGACAATTTCAATTCCTTGGTGGACCAAGCGCAGCAAGAGGCGGCAGACCCCGCATTGAAGGCATACTTCCCACTGTAGGCATTGTTCCAATATGAGACTGAGAAACAAAGGCTGACAGAGCAGATATGTGTGCATTGGCAGAAAGCCATGAAAGCATAACTCTGGGCAAATCGGCAGGCGTGATGGCTCGACAGGGGCTGCCTCTTGCGGGGGAAGAAAGAGCTCGCAAGACAAGGGGACCAGTCGTCGATGTCTTCCCTCCCTGATTTCACATCCAGCATATTGTACAGGTTTCATTGTTGTGCTCTTCACATCACGTTTGCATGGACATATCGCATTAGCGGAAAGACGGTTAGTCGAATGAGCTTTTTTTTGTGGTTGCGCCAGTTCTTTCCTTTTGCCGCCTGTAATGCAATGGGGTTCCGTATCGATAACCGTCGCTGTATGTTTGCTAGAGTCCACAGGATACCCTTGCCCTGAGTCTCGGTATGATTGATCGAAACAGAACTGCATGGTCGCACAGAGAACGAACGAGACTCAATGAGGGGAGTAGGAGAAAGCTCATAGCCCACAGTGCGCACCACTTTTCCTGCAGAATCCCGCAATTCCTTCATGCAGCCTACTTGCATCAGGTCTGGGCTTTGAAGAGCCTCGTATCCACTCGAGCTGGGTCGCTGCTGAGTTACTACTAAACGCGGTAGGAAGCAGGTGTATTGAATGAAACCCAGGGTCGAGGCATCGCTGTCGCTACCTAGGTCAAGTTGGAATTTTAGTCAACTGCTAGACAAAATGGTAGTGAAACAAAGCATGAGGGGGTTTGAGAGCAGAGGGCTTGGGGGTGCAGATTAAGCCGTTGAGATCGTGCCCAGTGCACGATCCCCGATACTGTTGGCTCCCGACCTTACCCTTTTAAAGAAGGATGTTTTCGATCCCATTGAGCTTCAAGAGTTACCTGGTCACCTGGACAGTGCCATGAAGGGAAGATGAAAAATATAGAGGAAGATGAAACCGGGGGGACTTACCGAACTGACGGGACAGGGAACCGCCGAATTTCAGGAACACATGATCTACACTATGTGATCCCAGAAAGTGCACGCTTTGACTGACCTCGTTAATACCAGCCGTTAAGAATGTTCATACCGGCGTGACAACTCGACAACTCGCCTTCACGCTTCACGTCTCACGCATCCACACCTTCGCACCTTCACACCTTCACGCGTCTCCAGATCACGCTTTCATGAATGATAGCTAGCCCCAAGCGGCGGTGAGCTCCCCTCAATCCCCAATGAACGGCCACAAGATCTATTTCAGATTCAGAAGCCCTCAGTCTCGTCCACACCTGTCTTGCCAGTATTTCCCATGGCGCAGGAGCCCTGGTAATCGACACACCCTTCACAGTGTTTCCTGTACGGATCATGTATCCAATCCAAACGTTCAAATAACCAACAAGACTTTACACAAGTAGAGCTGCATATTGGGATCTAACTAGCGCGATGTTTTTGTCAATGTGTTGATTTCATTCTCCCTTACTCGGGAAGAGGTCATACCGTCTCTCGGCGTCGTATTAGAGTTATTCCTGGAATGCCCCTGGGCGAAAGAGACGCTGCCCACGGAGATGGACTATCTCGATCATTGACCCACAGGGGCTCGACATGCATAAGCTACATACGCTCCACACTCTCTTTCTTATGGGTGTGTCAGGAAGTGGCCTTGAGGCGAGAATCGGGCGCAGACCTACCCGAGAGCCGTACCTATCATGCCTGCAGAATGCTCTCCAGGGGCTCTAAGAACTCAGACTAGATACATCGCAGCTTCAATCAGTACTGATATCATGGAAGATTGATGACCGGGACGTCTATAACGATTTATACAGATAAAAATTGCTGAATACTTTTGTATAATCAATATCCAATTTATCTGTCTTGCTCGTACGGAGTTCCTGAGAACAAACTGCCCTGTTCTATAACAAGAATACTTGGCCCCCACCTTCAACTATTGTTACCTAGCTTTGGATATGCACAGCGGAATATTAGCGTAGATCTAGCCAAGAGGAAGAAACGCAGGCTTGACGCCCAATCTAGGCGCATCGGTGCCTGAAATACAAGGCATTACTATCTACCTAATCGGGGAAAGCGGGGAGGGAAAAAAAGTTGGCGCGGATTTTCATTTGAGCTCCGGAACAGTCGCCAATTCTTTTTCCCTTGCGATCAAGTCACCAACAAGATGCCTTCAACACACAATAAGGAGAAGGCCTGGGATACAGATGACATCGATAAGTGGAAGGTAAACCCACACACCTTGCTTTCTTTTTCTCATTGAAAAATTCTTACTGACGGATCCTCGCAACAGATCGAAGAATTCAAACCCGAACACAATGCCGCGGGCAGTTTCGCCGAAGAGTCGTCTTTCATGACACTCTTCCCCAAATACCGTGAACAGTACTTGAAGGAAGCATGGCCCGTGATTACACGAGCACTGGAGAAGCAGGGCATTGCCTGCACACTGGATTTGGTTGAAGGTAGCATGACAGTGAAGACGACGCGGAAGACCTACGACCCAGCAGCAATCATGAAAGCCCGAGATCTGATCAAGCTACTCTCACGAAGCGTACCGGTGACACAAGCAATGAAAATTCTCGAAGACGGCGTGGCATGCGACGTGATCAAAATCCGCAATCAAGTGCGGAACAAAGAACGATTCGTGAAGCGACGACAGCGCATTCTCGGCCCTAACGGTTCAACCCTCAAAGCACTCGAGCTGCTCACCAGCACATACATCCTCGTGCAGGGTAACACAGTGGCCGTGATGGGTCCGTTCAAGGGACTGAAGGAGGTGCGACGAATTATCGACGACTGCATGGCAAACATCCACCCAATCTACCACATCAAGGAGTTGATGATCAAGCGCGAGCTCGCCAAGGACCCGACGCTGGCGGAAGAGTCCTGGGACCGGTTCCTACCAAACTTCAAGAAGCGCACGCTGTCCAAGCGCCACGTGCCATTCAAGGTTACCGACAAGGAGAAGAAGGTGTACACGCCCTTCCCTCCTGCGCCCGAGAAGAGCAAGGTCGATTTGCAGATCGAGTCTGGAGAGTACTTCTTGTCAAAGGAGGCCAAGGAGCGCGTTCACAAGGAGGAAGTTGTCGAGCGACAGCGCATCAAGCGGGACGAGAAGATGCGCGAGCGCGAGAAGGATTTCATCGCGCCCGAGGAGGCAATGCCGGCGGATCTCGAGGAAAAGTTGAAGAAGAAGGAGAAGAAGGAGAAGAAGGAAAAGAGCAAGCGGAAACGCGAGGCCGAGGAGGATGTCGACGCCGACGAGGCTGCCGAGCGCAAAGAGAAGAAGAAAAAGAAGAAGAGCAAGTCCAAGGAAGCTTCTTCCGATGGGGAATGATCTGCTCTTTGATTGTGATATCGGTATCTTGTATCGGGATTGGCGCTTATGGCAGTGCATAGGTCTGGCGTTTAAATGTCTTGTCTCCTGGTTCTTCGTTGCATCGTTGCAACCCATGTGCGCCCCAAGCTGGTGTGTACATTTACAAAAAATATTGTTCAATACCAAGAAATGATCTTCCAAGTCTCGCCTGTTTGATTGAAGTGAGCTTTGTGAAAAGCAACCCTGGGCTTGATGTCGAGGAGCGTCGAAATAACGTGGCCCAAAAATATCTCTCATCTCTTTCTCTTAAACCTATGGCTCGTCACCCTTGTCTTATCAATAATTGTGTTCGGTAGATATCCGCTTTATATCATTATTTCCAATTGCAGCCGCGGCATATATGTTTAAAAGGTTACTAGAGTACATAGTATCATCCAAACCACAATGCCTATGTAGGCAAACACCAGAAATGAGTCCACCACCCATGACGTATCTGAAGACAGTAGTTCAGACCGCTCCAGGAGTCCCTTCATCAGAAGATGAAGATGTACTGGAATTCAACTGCCGCAGCTTATCCACCAAGAACCTCTCCTGCTCTTCCTGGCTCTTCTTCAGATCAACACCCCAGAACAGGATACCAAAGCTGACAACACTCAACGCAAACAAGAAGTAGAACGGCGTTGAAACGTTGCCCGACGGACTCGCATCGATAATTGCGCTTGAGACAAGGGGGCCAATAAAAGAAGAGGTCTTGCCGATAATGCTGAAGAGACTGAAGAACAGGAACTCGTGGCCACGTGGTGTGACTTCTGAGATCATGATTTGCGAGTAGCTGTACCAAGGGCAGATGAACAGGCCGTAGAATGCTTGGTAGACCTGTAGGATTGATTAGGAATTACTGCTCATATGGAAAATGCGATTTACATACCCAGACTTCCCATGAATTATGGAAGCCGAACTTGTCGGTCCAGATACCGATCATACCCCAGCCATCAAGGAGGATGATCCCAATGGCAATGGTGTTGAACATGGTTTTGGTTCCAAGCTTAAAGCGTTGCTGAATTGTCCAAAATGCGTATATGCCAACCGCCTAAGAGAGACTTGTTAGTTTGTGACAAAATCACTCGAGAAGGTAGGACTCACTTGTGCAGCAATGCCAACAATAAGCAGGTATGTTAGTTCCAGAGTGTTGTAAGCAACGATGCTGTTCTGCAAGGTTGCAATAACAGTCACAGTGGTGTTGAGAGAGTCTCCAAGTAAGAAATACCCTAATGCCAACACTGTTAGCACCCAATAACCAACTAACAGACGTAGTATAGCGTAAAACCTTACCGATGAGATAGAGCAGACTTTGCTTCAAATGCCAGATCTGTTTCATAGCATGCCACAACTGCCACATTCCGGCAATCAAAATCGACCGTTTCCCAGGGTCTTGCCCAGGACGGCGTTTCTCAAGAACAAACCACGGAATCGAGACAAGCAACCACACACCCGAGACGAAAGCGATCAGTACACTCAGGCCCCAGTTGTTATTACTCGGGCTATCATTGACTTTCAATCCGAACATGATTCCAACAATGATCGCCAGAATAAAGATTTCCGCGACAGACTGAACATAGAAAGCGATATTGGCCAATTTGCTGCGCATCATGCTATCCGCATAGTCATATTCTTCTCGACTGATCCTTCCCGCCACATAGTCATCAGCTTTTTCCTTCATTTCGAGGGAATTGCGAGCCAGGCCCGGGAACGCAGCGGTCCAGAAAGTGAGTGTGGTTTGATAGGCGATCAGACCGACCATATATAGACCGACTGCGACATGCCATTTGTCCGAGGTATGAACACCTAACCAGCCAAATCCGACGGCGTAGGCAATAATCGACAACGCGATCAAGATGTTGGGTCGCCAATAACCGAAATCGGCGAAACTGCCAATTATCAGGAATACTACGACTTGGATCGCAAAGGAAATTCCATTGGAGAGAAGGACGATGCTGTTGACCGTGCGTGGTCTACCTATGAATTTGAGTAGTCCATCGTCAGGGGCTGCTTGGTAGAGCAAGTTTTGAAAAGCGGTTGGCGCAAAGTCTAGAACGGGTCAACACATCTGCGAATTAAGACGACAATGCGGATAGACTCACTGAATAGCGACAGGCCATTATTCCCAATGTAATAGCTGCAGTGGTGTTTAGTTTCCGCACAGGAACGATTCAACGATCCACGCACGCATAATAGGCCCAGATTTCCATGCGGGTGGTGCGGTATCTCTCATCAAATTGATCTGGTGCTATCGGTTGGTCGATCTTGTCTTGGGGACCATCCACCTCCACAGTGGAGAGGACATCGCCTTTCTGCTGATCTCGATCCATGAAGAGAAAGATGAAAGTAATAAAAAAGAAGAGAAAAAAAAAAGCGCGGACTGGGAGTCAAATAAGCAGGCGCTATTAAACCTTCGAGCCAGTCGCACTGCAATAAAACTGCCGATCACGATAAACTGGATTTGGTCTGAACTACATCGCGTTGGGCTTAGCGACTTCATCTCGTCCTATTAGATCGACGGATTTCTCATTTTCCGCATCCGGTGGCTTTCTTCAAATATCTTGAACTACCAAAGAAAAACGAAGGAGTTGACTTATTGGGGAAATCTAAAATGGAGGTAATAGACTAGACTGTCGTAAAGTATACAACATTTATCTGCATTGTATATAATTGGTTGACTTGGAGAGATCGCGAAAATATCGGCTGATGCTTTGGTCTCTTGTTCCAAGGAAATGGGGAATTATACTTATAATGAGAAACTTCAGACTCAATGAATGATCGAGGATATTGCACAACTATGGCACCGACTCACTATGAAGCCGATATACTCAGACCAGTTGAAATTCATCCTGGAAGTTCCTGGCTGCACACTATGCAATCTGGTTGAGTTGGCCGCGTTGCTCCCCACTAGCCTACATGTCATCTCCGTATGTTGTTATGTTGTATATGCTGAAAGTTGATCATGACCCTCTTTGACTCGTTTGGCTTTGATCATCGCCATGACAAGCTAGGTGATCACTTTTCTCCCCCATGGCTCGTTGTATATCTACTTCATAGATAAAATACCGTGAAACATGCCATGAAACGAGATTTAGTTGGGATCCGTATCATTGACCAAGGGCCCTATATATACTCTTTCAAAAAGATCTGTTGATTACTTTTTCTTGACATGTTGAGCTAAAAATGAGAAACCCCGAGAGCCGAGCAGTTTAGGGCAGTAGTATTTTAGCGGTAAAACGCTTGATTGCACCAGTGAAATAAGCCAAAATCAGGTTGTCGTGCTCCACATTCCTTTTACATTCCCTGTCGCACTAGAATCTATCGAATCAAGTATTCTTCTACCTTTTCCCGCGGTCTATGAATTGAAGGGTGGCAAACTATCGATGAATAGATTGGAAAGACTCAAAGGACTTCGCAAGGTGAACATAGCCGCGAGAATCCCTCCAAGTGCATCGCAGCCAATGCTTTCTTTCAAGCACTCTAAAAATTCAAGTCCCCATTACCAGTGCTTAGCCACGGTCAATTTGATTGGTTTGGGAAGCCTTGCAATTCTGTAAGTACGTGCATGGAATACGGACTCAGAAAGTACAACACAAGATGAAATGGAAAATCGTCAGGTACAACAAAAGCTTGAAGCGATTTTCAAATCTTCTTCTTGGCCCCCGTCTTTGCTCTGCCCTTTGGTGTAGGCTCTGTATCATCTTTCGACTTTTTCATAACTTTCGCTTTCTTGGGCTGCCTCTTCCTTTTCCTTGGATGCGCATCTTCGTCCGAGGAATAAGTGAACCCCGGCTGCCCTGCCGGGTCTTCCACCATAACACGAGCTCTGCGGACTGTCGCGTCCCTAGTAACTCCTTCTTGATCCCATCCTCCTGTTTCGTAGAAATATGGTTGAGTGATTGCGAGCACCTTGCGTCCGTTCAGTCTAAGCTCACGCTCATCGTGCCCGTGGAGGAATGCTGCTTCAAAAACTTTTGATTTGTTTTTGAACTCAGTTGGAATCTCATCCAGAAGTCGCCATCTGAAATCCGGCTGTGATGTGCTCAAGCTTTTTGCTAATTCAGACATGCAGAAGTATACATAGCCGAGGCTTTCCTTCAATTCGTTTTCATCTTTTTCTTGGAGTAGGCATCGAAAGGTCTTGTCTTGAAGCCTAGCAGCAGCAAACTCATAGGCCTTGGCCTTTCGAAGTTCCTCATTTGCCAATGCAAAGGTAGTATCGTGTGCTTGAAAATGGCCGTTGTATTTCATATTAGATAGACGTGATGTCTGATTCCGCCAGTGGTGAGCGAGGTCTGGCCTCACTAAAAGAAAAAAATCTTAGCCTTGGGTATTTGCAAGAAAATCACAGGGTTAAGTCACCTTTCAGGAACTCTTTGTACAGAGCATGCAGCTGAGCGCCCAACGGGGTTTCCTCGGGGCCCTCAATGCTGGCGAATTCACCATGGGGATCCAAATACCAAAATGGATTTGTAAAGAATAATCTCAGGCAATCTTTGATAACGATCATTGCAGCAAATTCTGCCAGGATGATATACCGCATGCAGGGTGGGAGCTTTGAGACCGTTCTGTCGAAGTCGTCTTGAACAACCCATCCCTTCAAACTCACGATGACATCCCTTTTCTGCTCTTTGGATAGGCTTTGACACTTGCCACTTCTTCTGGTTTTGATCCCATTGTTCGTTGCCCAGTTCCTACAGGACCATATATTACCGTGAACTTCACTTTCCCATCGGGAAAGGTGGAGCTCAGGCCAGAAATCGTAAAATCCATGAAAGAACTCGAAATTGTTTCGACGAGACTTGATCTCGATCCAGCAGGTGTCAAGAGCTTTCTTCAGTTCTTCAATATGTGACTTCTGCTCTTCGAACGTGAGTTCGTTCTTGTCATCTTTCTCATATTCCACCCACCACGGTATCTCTTCAATTTCCCTTTCGATCATTCTTTCCCTTTTTGCGTCATGTTCTTCTAGTTGACGATTGTGTTCCTCGACATTTATCTGTGTAGCGTTAGATTGAAATTTCTAGGTATTGGAATGAATTATCTCACCCCAATCTTCTTGCCATCCTCCCATGTTTCAAGCTTCATTTTTGTAGCGTCCTTTTCAGATCATCAGAAATGAATGTTGCTGATCAAGACATGAGACCTTTGGAGGGGAGGCACAGAAGAAGCTACAGGAAGAAATTGGTTTATCTTAAAACTTGGGAAATGAGGACTCTATATCACATCCCGATTTCATGGTCCTTTGTGTCAAATCCTTAATTGGGGCCCAAGGCCTAGGCAGAACTGAGACCTATGGATATTCACGTCTTTGTTTGAACGATCCCTGCAATTATGGGCGCTGCAGGGATGGTGTCTTTCAAGTCTGTTGCATTTGCATCGGCTTTTCGCTTTGTTCCAAGATCCACCTTTTTTCCCCCTTAACCTATTGATCCATATGCCCAATATATAATTTTTAGCCACGAGACAACAGGAAAGTTATATTGCAAAGAACTTTGGAAGTTTCTTTGATAGTAAGAAGTTGGACACAAAAGTGAAAGAAAGGAGAAGAACATGTGTCAACTTGAATCCTTAGTACGGCACGTTTTAGCCCCATCACGCCAACGCATTGTAGTTCATTTACCGCTGATCTCGCCTTGCTCTTACCCCTATATACTCATCCCTGGTCCCTGGGGCAAGAAGCGGTACTCTGTATAGCTGTCAGGGTTCAAGTCTCATTTTTGGGGGGAACTTTGATACCTGAACATTGATACCTAAGTAACTCAATCTGCATAGCTTCCTACACCACTCTATACAATGAAAGTAAATTTCTTCAATACGTAGTCGCAAAGACAAAGCTCTAAGCCTCTGTACAGTTTCAAATATCTTACTCTCAACACTTTCGTCTCAAGGGTATACAACTAGCTACCGTACCGTATATTGGATTCAGCGCCGAGAAACAACGGAATTCAAGGATTTATATAGGCGCGAATAGTTGGCGTCATACTGAGTGCCCATTTTCAAAGTCATTAATGTCTCCGGCCAATGGGTAGGGATCATGAATCTATTACTAACTTCCTACCTGGCAAAACCCCTGTTAGTGCGATGGGTGTTGAAACATGCCTATTACATGCCGTACCTTAGCCCGATTTCCAACAGAACTCCTACCCTTGAATCACTACCCACAATAGTCTTTTGTGAATTTTGAGAGGATGGAACAATTATGTCAAATTATCTACATATCAACGATCTCATACAGCACAGCCTTATGATGGCGGGAATGCCATCTCTTTTCAAAATTGCCATATAAAATATGCAAAGCAAATCACGACCCAATAGAATACCAGCAGAGATCAACCACGAACATGACGAAGGTCCTGCTGGGATCAACTCAAAACAAGTGAATCTTGATTCAAAAGAATCCGTCTCGAGATAAACTAGATGAGGTGGATTGAGACAAATCTAGGGTCAGCCTCTGGCCAAATGGTTGATTCACAGGACATGACTTAAGTAGAGCTCTCCTTGGTAGCTAAACTGCAGTCTCTACAATCTCTAATAAATGGTGGTACATAAAGACAGAAATATGGCCATGACCAGCTTCCTGCAACACACTCAATCGTCATCAGTGTATTTTGGCACGTCTGACAGAATCGTCATTGGCCTCGATTATGGAGCATCAGGGACGGGTAATACTGCAGCCATGTGTACTATGGAGTGTGGATCTGGGCTGATGATATATATCTAGCGGTCAGCATCTACCTGGTGCAAGACGGAAATGCCATTCTTCAACCCGATATAAAATGGCCCCTCGGTGGCAATGAGTTCAAAGTCCCATCCAGGATAGCGTATTCTGCCGACAACCCGTCATTCTCCATGCTTTCACCCCGCTGGGGATTTGACATAGAGCCTGACATGAGGGCATACTCGTTGACCAAGCTTGTTCTAGATAGCAGCACGAAGTTAGCCGAGTTTGATGAGCTGGTTCTGGACCAAGCAGTCTCTCTTGGCAATCCTCACCAAGATCTCTACCCTGACACAAGAAGGCCTCCCGTGGATGTTGTCGCTGACTACTTGTTCCTTGTGTTGAAGTTTGTATGGAAGAGAATTCAAGATATCCCAGATCTGCCACTCCACGATATGCCTGTTGAACTTCAATTCACCATTCCTGCAATCTGGTCCGATCAAGGTCACAAACTAAGCACGCAGGCCATAGATCAGGCGTGGACTTTTAAGAGACCACAGGATACGCTTACAATAACCTCCGAGCCTGAAGCAGCCGCGGAAGCTATGCATGTCTACCTCAAGAATAACGGTATGCTCCAGAACGGAGACGGGATTTTGGTCTGCGACTGTGGCAGTGGGACAGTGGTGTGTCGTCTTGTTCCAAATTCCTACTACAATTCGAAATTATATACTAAGGGCGCTATTAACCATTCACTTCAAGGATATCACAACATTACTTGTTATGGATTGCACCAGCTTCAATGTATCACAGATAGCTGCTATACAAGGCAAGGGAGATATTGGGGGCATTTTTACCAAGACCAGATGCTAAATCGATATAGGAGCCAAATGTGGAGGTGCAGCTATTGACAGGCGACTGTTTGATCTCATGAAAAACCGACTCCCCCAGAACGTTTTTGAACACCTGAACCATCTGATTGCTCCAGGGAGCGAGTTTATGGGGAGTTTCGAACATGTCAAAAGGAGCTTTGGAAGTACAAAAGCACAAGGCCCTTTCCATTTACCACTCCGTGTCAGAAGAGGTCGAGCAGCTTATGGCATGTCGGATTTTAATATGAAGACAGGCATGTTTACTCTTGTATCCGAAGATGTTCAAACATTGTTTGACCCAGTTATTGACAATATTATTCACCTGGTCAATTCGCAGATTGAAGCCGCAGATAGAGAGTACGGTTCCCCGGTGATCAATGTAGGTACCGTACCGCTCTAGGTCAAGTTCAGCGACGAGGCTAAAATTTATCATCTAGAAAATTCTCCTGGTTGGGGGACTGGCATCGTCACCTTGCCTTCAAGATGCATTTCGTCGCAACTTTGAAGTCTCAGGAAGATCGTTAATAACACTTCCACCGCGGGAATCGTGAGTCTTCCCAACTGATTGTTGCCCCAAATAGCTAACATATCCTCAGAGTTATGGCTGTTTCTACTGGATCGGCACTCCAAGCCATGCGTGCAAAATTCAGAAGTCCTCGTCATTACGGAGTTGGTTCACCATTGCCCCGAGGCAGGCTTAATTTCCAGCGTATGGAGATTCAGAGAGAAGTAGAGGAGATAAAATGGTTCATCGTCAAGGTGAGTCTCCTATCGTCCGGTTATACTCCCCCTGCTTATTGCCAATTCCTTTTGACAACCCCACATTAGGGCAAGAGATATCAGGAAGGACTCATCTATGCTCATACAAACGCTGTGTCGTATCACCTGTACCATGAGCACGATGCCAAGGTGATGGTCATCCCAGTGTATTCTTGTGAGCTATCAAGTCCACCGTACCCTGCACACGCTGCTCAATTCAACGGTACAAGACTTGAACACGGAGTGTAAAATGAACCACTTGCTAACTTACATCAGATCTCACAGTGGTTGGGTACATTTTCGCTGACTTCTCCACGCTTGATCTTGAAGCTTGTTGTCATGAATGGAATCCGAATGCGCGGACAGTGTATAGGCTGAATTACTCCGTCGGGTTCAATTTTGACGCGGAAAACAGGGCCTTGAGATTTACCGTGGAGGCACTTCAGGTGGTAATTGGAACCGCAAGCATTGGACTGGACTTTTGAAAGCTATGCATAGTTGATGGCATAATATTTCGCCAAGATGGCGGTGATTTAACAACTCTCTTAGTTAGCTGCGATAGAAAATTGACAGGGATGCGGGTGCCATGGCTGTTGGCTAAATAGTGTAGTTGACGAAGCAGAAATAATTTATCGCTGTTTAGATAATTCGATCTAAAATAGGTGCATCCATCATCCGAATGAGATCAAAATAATCAACTAAGTCAGAGAGCTATTCTATATACGCCGAGTAATACTATCCAGAGCGCTTGTACCTTCAAGCCTTGAAAGATTCAAAGGCATCTATACAGCCTGGCTTTGAACAAGGAAGTGACCTAATCGATTATGCTGGCACGCGTGGCCCAACGCTTCTCCAGAACTCACAGCGCTGACCACGGCCACCTTCCCACTTCGATGCATCTGCCAGTTTGAAATTATTCGTGACACCAGGTCCTTCCCGAAGCCAATAAGTGAGACTATCAGTGACTTCTACGTAAACTGTTGTTCCACCTGTGGTGTTCAGGTTCATCAGGACTGGAGATCCGCTGTTCCATTTTGGCCAGGAGATATCTCCGTTGACACCCTCAGGTACGGTAGCGTTGTCTGCACCACCCTTTGCGTCGATGATAGAAATTACTGGAGTATCGTTGATGATGAAATTGCCCCAAATCTTCTGGAAAGCATCAATCAAGCCACGAGTAGGCGTAGTGGCTCCAACAGAGAAGTATGCGCTCAAATCTGCCCCATGGTATGAAGGGGTAATAGAGTACTGATATTTCCAACTCTCCTTGGTACCAGCTCCAGAAAAGGCATCCGCAAGCCAGTAAGAGGGACAGTCGAAGGAAGATTCAGCATAGATGTTGAAGACTGTCTGCTGGAGACCAGTTGCCATTTCTGATTGGTTTAGAGCGGTTGGACCGCGATCACCAAGTGTATCATACCGGGGTCCATTGTTTTCGGGGGAGCTGTCCCAGGATTTGTAGATGTCCAACAGGCGGGAATAATCACGGCCAGAGAGCGAAGGGAAAGCAGAGTGTACATAACTCAGGAATCCGCCAGTGGTGCTCACAGATGGCGGGCTAAGCGGGACACCCTCATTGGCGTTATTCTGGAAGAGTTAGCATAAAGCAGGCTTATAGAATACTACGATGATTTGGCACAGTAGACTTACCCCCGATAAAACTCGCTTGCCGCTGACTTTCTTCTCGAATAATTGCTTAGACGGCAGTTCCTGGATAAAGTCGCCATCGACCACAGGAACGAAGGCCCAGGTGCCCCATTCCCCTGAAATGGAGACATTTCCACCTGCATACTGCAAAGTAGTGGTGTCGGCTTTGACAAGGCAGTCAAATACCGCTGCCTCGGACATATGGCCCCCCCTTACGACACCCTGCTCGTGCCGCAAAATCGTCATAGTGTCTTGTCGGAACTTTGCCATCATACTGATGCAAGGCCGTGGAATACGGACTGGCAGCGATAACCTATGTAAATTAGCCTTAGCGTCTCGGATTTCATAGCTCTCAAACTTTACGTTATTGAATAAGTTATCCTCACGACCACCATAAGCCATTGATTGTAGCATCACGGAGCCTGCTCCAGAAGATTCACCGGCAATCGTGACGCGGGAGGCATCACCACCGAACTTTTCGATATGCTCCTGGACCCATTCGAGGGCGAAACGCATGTCAAGCAGGCCTGCATTGGTCTTCCCGTGCGTGTGTACGGCTTTTGATGACAAGAAACCAAAGGCTCCCAGTCGGTACTGAATCATGACTGAAATGAACCCGTTGCCATTCGTGCTGATCAACTCACTGGGGTCGTAAAAGGCCCCAAAAAGCCCATATCCCCCACCATCTATGAGTACTTAGGACATGTTCTCTCGGTCAAATCTTCTGATCTTTGACTTTTGAAAAGACTTACGAATCCAAAGTAGAACGGGAAGATCTTTGGCCCCGGGCGGAGCATACACATTCAAGAACAAGCAATCCTCATCTCCCAGGGCTGAATTGAAGCCATATACTTCTGGAAGCTTCGCGCCACCGAACTGTGGGCAAATTGGGGGCTGTTTAGTGGCAGGCTGGATAGATCCTCTGTTCACTAGAGGGGCTTGTGGCGCTTGCCATCGCAGCTTTCCTACAGGAGGGGCCGCATATCGAATCCTACCAGACAGTAAGAAAACTAGAACACATTGCCAAACATGATGCGGTATGCTTCTCACCCTTTGAAGACATTGAGGTTATAGGTGTTGTCATGGTATCCCTGGTAGGTGGCATAGCCTAAATCAACCACTGGGCTCGATGTTTGGACAGGGTTAGCTCGACCAGCCGGGGCAATGGCGAGAGCCAGAAGAACAAGGTTGCTTATCCCTGTAAAACCCATCCTCACTACTCACAGGCGTTGAAATGGTAAGGGTTGCAAAGGAGGAAAGGAGGCAATTTTATTATTTCTATCTGCGCTGTGAATATACCTGGAGCCCCTAACTTGTAAGCGAGTCCCACGGGCCCCGGGGGTCGGCTCGGCCTCGTGTACCCGAAACCCCATTGTTTTCCCCACTAATTAAAGGGGCCTATCTATATAACATAGACATTGTCAATATATAACTACACATACTATGTATGATTGTAGTTAGCGTGGAATTTAGCCATGAAATCTTGGTTGGTTTAAGCGATTGTAGATCGTGATTGATCAGCTTTTATCCACCTTCCTAATATGTACAAAAGTACTATCTGCCACACGGCACGGCCTTGTAAGATGGGGGCCATTTCCATTCCGGGCACAAGACTAATTACCATTGGATTACCCCGTACTCCTTAGCGCAAGCGTGAATATTCAGATCGCGTGTACGGTGTTTGAGGAACACTTCCTGATTTCCCTCCATGGATTCATCCCTTGCTTTCACTCAGCTACTTCGATCCCGACCATAATGGCGGGGGAAGTCGATTCAAGTGAGTCGCGGGTCACAGTCGTGACTGTGTTATATTCGATTCCTATTCCATTTATGATTCTGTTCACCGGACTCCGGCTTTTCGTCGTACTACGACCCTCGTCCAAAAATCCTATCAACTTCGATGATTATATGATTATTTTCTCGACTGTCTGTGCCAACTTTTCTTTTTCTTCCAACACATTTCTTCCACTCGCTTGCTAATACTGGTACGTGCAGGTGATATCGGTTGGGTTATGCATAAGTGGCTTGGTTTATGGTAGGTTGTCGTGTTGAGATATGTACGATAGTATGGAGTGACCCACGCATTACAGGTCCACCCTATGGCTTTGGTAAACACCAAGCTACTCTGAGTACCCAGGAAGTCGAGGGGTTTTTTCGGGTGATTTCAACAAATTCACTATACTACTTTTCATACTGAAGATGCTGGATTCTTAGGGCGACTATGTCTTCAGCCATTTCTACGACTGGGCCATTGCATGCATCAAGCTTTCAATTCTTGGGCTTTACTATCGAATTTTCAGCACCGTGATCTTTCGGCGAGTTGTCATTGGCACCGCAATCTTTATCATTTGCTGGCTCGCGGCCATGGAGATCGGTCTAGGGCTAGAATGTATCCCTATTGAAACAATTTGGGATTCGGATGTGACGGGAACCTGTATAGATCTGGTGGCTTTTTCCTACTTCACCAACATTACGAACCTGGTCACCGACTTATGGGTGTTTCTTCTTCCCCTGCCAATCATCTTCAGACTGCAAATTAGTCGAAGGCGAAAATTCGAGATCGCATGTGTTTTTGCCGTTGGTTTATTGTAAGTTATCAAAACCGGTCTCTTGAAGTTGCTTCTGACATTCGTAGCACATGCGGCGTTACTCTTGCTCGCTTGACCGTTGTGGTCTCACAAGGATCGTCGGACTTCACTTGTACGCCCAAATAGATCCCCCCACGATCCAGGATCTGCATTGCTAACAGAAGGCTTAGGGGCTGGTGTCCCGCTCGGAATTCTGTCTATATACGAGCCACTTTGTGGAATCACTTGCGCGAATCTCCCCTTTCTATACAAATTAGCAAATGGGCATTTCAAGAAATCTTCCTCTCATCGTCCCTCCAATACAGGGGAGTCAGCCTCTGGGGCAGGGCATAGAGCTAGGCAAAATAGCTCAAGAAGGCATAGAAGATCACTGAGTATGCACAGTGAAGGGATGATGCTCTCGCGGAAGGAGAATGATTCGAGAACATTGATTGTGACCCGGTCCAATCAGAATCCTGAGATAGAACTATCGATGATGGAAAGGTCGGATTCCATGCATCAACCAGATAGCCATGAAGTATTAGGGAAGTAAATCACCAATTGCTCTCACACAGCGCCTCACAGAGTACCACTTTCTTTGTAAAAGCCCTCTTTCTCTCTCTTAAGATCTAAGCTAACCGCGGGGTCAAGGTATGAGAGCGGCGTATGCCCTTCCTACTTGTCCGCTCATAGTTGACCTTCGAGTAAAAACAATCGTAACATTTATTTCTTGATCTACTTCTTCCATTCGTCGCGAACCCAATTCTGAGTCTGCTTCACAGTCCGAGGCCGTGCACCACCAGCTCATTGCAGTCTCTCACGAACTTTACGACCTCGTTTTTATCATGCCATGCATCGTTATATGCAGCGCTGAGACACATACGTCCACGGAAAGTGCTTAAAAACAGGCCGAGCCCCGTGCCTAACTCTTCTCCCGTTACCCAAGGACTCTCTAACTCAAATTGGCCGTGAGTTGGGGCTAGAATATTATCCACGACACCCATACTAGAGATAGAGACTGATGGTGCATCATTCGCTGCTGGGACAGGGGGGCGTCTGGTCCCGCCGGATAGGCTGGGGTAGAGAGAGCCCAGTAATGCGGAGCCAGTGAGATATGCTCCGTATCATCACGGATCTCGAGATAATACCTTTTCACCTGCTCAACAACATCTAGGAGCTCGTCTTTCTTGATCTTGTGGTTGCGGGTGTTGTCTTCAGCAGAAGGTACCGTCAGGTCAATCACGAGGCTTGATCCTGAGACTGAGTGGTATACGGCGGCCGCGTGCTGAGGCGTGCTGTAAGGACTCTTGCAGAGTGGGCGCTCGTTGATCAAGGCGTAGTTGATATAACGAACGCTCCGCTCGTTGGGACCACGGTCTTGAAGATCTCTTAGCACAAGGGCTATGGCCGCATGGTATACATGCGTCACACTAGCACCAATGTCTTTGATGGCATGTCGGAGCTGTTGAGACTGTTCAAGATCCAAGTTGAGCTCAATTCGTTGATGACAACCGGGAACCGCTTGTCCCTTGTGAAAAGGTAATTTGGCAATCTCTATACCTTCGCGAATCGAGGCATTGGTTTTGGACAGTTTCTTAATTCGGGTCTGTTGCTTTTCGTCTAATGAGGCTGGAATGCAAGCTGCAACTCGTAATGGGGGGCTCAAGGTTTTCCACTCGTCGCCGAATTGGGGCAGTGGGGAGTCTGGCTTCTCAAGAAACAGCGATGCGTATTTGAAAAGATTGTTGAGAAGATGCAAGGATCCGATCCCATCAATAATATCATGGTGAGACCGAAGAACAACATCGGCTTGGTAGTCGCCGGTTGGATTCTCGCGTGTAATTAGAAAGAGTGTCGGCAGTTTGGGGACGGGGGGGATCAGAATTGCACCACTCTTTCCCAGTTTGACTGGTGGAGATAATGCAGAATGTCTCGTCTAGCCACGCTTGACGGCAAGTGGTACTGTCCTCACGGAAAGGCTCATAGACCTTTTTGCATCTGTTGCTCTTGGTGTCATATTCAACCCACGAGGCAATGGTGGGGTGGTCATAACGAAGTTGCAACCATGCGTTCTTGAGTGCGGTGATCGGATCAAGGGATCCCACTTCCCCCGAAAGAGAGAAGGAGACATGTGCGGTCATCGCGAAGAACGTTCTGCCAGTGCCTTCGAACCTTCTCGCCAGAGTGGTATAAAATTGTTCAGCTTCGTCAATATTTCGTTCCCATCGTCCATGTGCAGTTTCAGTCCAGGCAAACTCGTCGTACAAAGCCATGATGCTTTGGGCTGCGTTGTGTCTTTTAGACTTCCTTTGGCTTTGCTCGACTCCGGAAAATAAAGAAAAGCTAGACTGAGAGGCCGAGAGATGAGCCTTCGAGCTTCGTGCGGCAGAGAATATATATTAGGTTGCCAAGAGGTGAGTGGCCCTATTTACGTAGAGAGCACCCCGTTGCTTCCCGAAGTTTAGCCGTAGCGGACTGAACTCCCGATGACAGTGGGAAAAATTACTACAGGGAGTATATGATTCCTCTTTCGTTCAGGAGTATTGACCGCTCCGCAGACCCACAGCTTCTAAGTGAGCCGACAGGGCTCCCTTGATATTCTAAGCCTACAAACACGTGGAGTCAGTGTATTAATTTAGTGAAGCTGGCGGAGATGCCGGATTTGGTAAACGACCCCACGGCCACGACGAAGAGAAATATCTAGTAAAATAAATAGTAAGGTCATGCATGGCTCCCCTCTCAGGTATTGGTATGTCATCAATGAAGGCTTGATGGATGTTTCTCCACACTGGACTTTCTCCCCAACCCCATGTAGTGTCTGTTTTGCCATTCCTAAAGATCAGGCGGGAGTATGGATTTGAAGTAGGATGTAGTAAATTATAACCCAAAAAGATTACTCAAGAACAAATCCTAATTATCCTGAGATAAATTATCACTCAAGCCTAACCTATTCTCAATAACCTTGACTATCTCGGTCCATTCTAACATAGCGCCACTCCCTACGTCCCCACAAGCCAACACCTTCGATGACTGCGGTTGTAGAACCTCAAACCAGCCCGTCTCCTCTCCCGTACTCTCATCCTTCCGAACCCCCCATTCCTCCTCTAACACCCGTATATGTTGAGCCGTCACCGGGTGCCGCCACATAGCCGTATTCATAGCCGGTGCAACTACAATCCGTTTTCTTTTCCCATCAACCTGGCCATCTGTATCCCACGCCCGACATACAGACGTCAACAGGTTATCGCTGAGTCCATTGGCGAGCTTGGCGAGGGTATTTGCGGAGAGGGGAGCGATGACAAGGATATCTGCCCAGCGTCGGAGGGAAATGTGTAAGATGTCAACCCCGCGGCGCCATGGCTCTGGTCCCCACTCCGCATCATCATCGTAGACGGCTTCGACGCCAGGGAGGGAAATTAGGGACGACACGGGGGGCTGCTCGGCGGATTGGCCGGCTAGGAATTGCTTGGCTTTTGTGGTGAGGATTACTCTTATTGAGAGCTTGTGGACATGAGGGGAGAGGGCGCTGATAATATTGGCTATTTTGATTGTCGCGACTGAGCCAGTTGCAGCAAGGAGGAGGTGAATGCGATTGTCACAGACTGATGTCTTTGATTCTGTGGATTTTGTGCTGGAGGGATCGATGCCACTACCGGAGTGGGTCGTTTGGGACATGGCTTTGGTTATGAAGTCCTTGAATCTTCCAACTTATTTTCGCATATAGGCAGTTTCTCGCCAGTGGTTATGAACATGAGATCAGTTTGTTAAAGCCGAGAGACCTCGGGAGGCGGGGTGATAAGAGCTTATCGATAAGAGGTCTGCTCTTTTTGAGTTTAGATGCTCGGTAGCTGGAGGTCACTGGAAGCTGGCGAGGGAAGCCAGCATTTCTTACTTGTTTTTTAAACTAGGATGTATCAAGATTGTTGGGATAGAATACGATGTTCTTTGGCGTCAATGATATTCCATTAGTAAGATGATTCTCATTCTTTTGTTAACCACATTCATTCGAACCCTCATGCATTTCGAACAATATATAAAACATGCCCGAGGAAAGAGCATAGCTCGTGTATGCTATCTTTATTTCAATAGCGGTAAATCAAGCAAATCAAGTGCTCTTCTTAGCATTCTCGCGCTCAGCCTTACGGAGAGCGCGCTTCCGAATGCTCTCATGCATAGACTTATTCTGTCCGAGAACGAGCTTACCCATAGTCCCTGAAACAGAAGTCAAGAACCAAGCCATGATACCATGGCTCCAGAAGGGCGACGAGCTGTAAGCGTAGGTAGGCGAGCCACCACTGCGACCAATCTTCGAGAGCACGGAGCGAACGAAAGCGCGCGGGGTAGGAATAGAAGCCGAGGCACGACGGATCTTAGACATGGCAGAGGTAATCAGGTAGGCCTGGATAAGTTCCACATCAATGCCGTAGGGGGCCAACTCGCCGCCAAGAGCAGTAGACCAGTACTGAAGGAAAGCCTTGCTGCCGGAGTAAGTGGCAAGGAATGGGGTAGGCAGGAGACCGCCGAAAGAGCCCATGGTCAGAATTAAACCGCGGCGACGCTGCATCATGCCCGGAACAATAAGCTGAGTGACGCGCAGCGTGCCGGTGCAGTTGATGGTCACGATGTCGGCCATCTCTGCGGCGGGTGTCTGGGCGAATGGAACGGGGATCGAGTGGCTCAGGCCGACATTGTTGACCAGAACGGACACGTCCAGATCGGAAATCAGTTCGCCCAGCGCCTCGTAGTCGGCGTCGGCATTGCGCGAGAAATCCATTGCGAGAGTCTTGGTCTGCACCTGCGGGAACTGCTTGCTGATATCCTCAGACAGTGTTGCTAGCTTCGAGGCGGTTCGCGATACGAGAACGATGTTGAATTTCGCCTTGGCCAGTTGCAACGCGAATTCCTTGCCCAGACCGTCTGACGCGCCTGTTACCACAGCCCAGCTACCGGGGGGACCGAACGAGCGAAGCTAGTCAATTATTTTTGTCAGCTTCATGTTCTTAATTCAAAGGCTTGGGTATTGAATTCCATACCGGTTTACCCGGAAGCACGAACAGGCTCAGAAGCACCCGCACGAACGTCCAGACCTTGCAGGCAATTGCTAGCCCACCAGTCGCCAGAAGGAATAGTGCACCATAAGTAGGCAAGCCCGGGCCAATATGGCTTGGCCATTGGGAGATACACTCAATGTGCTTCGAGATATCCATGACGAGCAAAGAAATGTGGATAACAAGGAGTTGACAGGAGAAAAAAAAAGTTGAGCAGACCAATGCGAGAGACTTGTTGGGATCAACGCCAAGACTTCCAAACATCCTCGGCATCCAAGTCAACAAGAAAAACAAACTCCCTTACAAACAAAAACAAATCAAGTCTCGCTCAAAATGGACCAATATCTCGCCTATCTACCCCAGTCGGAGGGCATGCTGCCCAAATGGCTTTTCTTCGTACGTTCCACCCGTGTTCAACCACCCAATTCCTTTACCTGCTACTCCGAACCCCTAACTGCCAATGCCACCATTCCCCAATCCAACTAACCACCCATCTCTCTATACAGGTTTCGGTCGTCTCTGCCCTTAACAGTCTGCAAGCCTACGTTTCACCAAAATATACTTCCCAACTCTACAGTAATGGCAAGGTCCCCGCAAGCCCGCTCTCCGGCCGCGTCTTCGGAACCTGGACTTTCCTCTCCGCAGTCATTCGCATGACCGCCGCTTACAATATCACAAACTCTGTCGCTTACGACCTTGGCATGTGGACGTACGGAATTGCCCTGACACATTTTGTTGGCGAACTCATCTGCGGTGATGCCGAGCTCGGAGGCCGGTTCTTGAGTCCTTTGATTGTTGCGTCGTCTTCGCTAGCTTGGATGTTCACCCAGCGTGCGGTGTACCTGGGCTGAGTCCCTGAGTTTGGTAGAGAAGATTACGTTAGGGGAGTGGCTCAATGCAATGCTACGCATGGAACCGATAGCTATAGAGGAACTGAGCATTTATGTTGCGCCACAACTATGTACAACTTATGCTTCGGCACAAAAGCTTTGGCGGGGAAATAATATATATGTATACTATAAGAGTAAATATCTTCAACAAGTCTGGTATAGCCCTATCCAGACATAATCACTTTTTTCTCTCTCGTCTCTTAGTTTCTTGGTTTCTTTTTTTTTTCAATTCTGAGACACTTCACGAATCGATCTTCTTCCTGTACAACTCACCTCCACAAGCCCGCAGCTTAGCAGCAGCTTGCTCGGGTGTGATATCACGTTGAGGCTCCGCCATAAGCTCATAGCCGACCAAGAACTTGCGCACGGTAGCGCTTCGCAGCAGAGGCGGATAGAAGTGCAAGTGCAGGTAGGAAGCCTCAATCTCCTCCTCGGTACCATCAAGCGGAGCCTGGTGAATACCCATACTGTAAGGGAAATGCGTCTCAAAGAGGTTATCATAACGACGGGTTGTCTCTGCGATCGCCTCAGCAAGCAACATCTTCTCAGCCTCGGACAGATCCACCAGCGCGCGCTTGTGCGTGCGGCTAACAATCATCGTCTCAAATGGCCATGTCGCCCACCACGGACAGACAACCAGGAACGCCTCGTTCTCAAACACAACGCGCTCCTGCTTGCGGCTCTCCAGCGCCGCATAGTCCTCCAACATGTGGCTACCGCCGTGCTGCTGGCGGTACTTGGTCAGCTGCGCCATCTCGGCGGCAGGCTCTTCTGGCATTGAGCTAGTCGTCCAGACCTGACCGTGAGGGTGGGGGTTCGAGCATCCCATCGCCGCGCCCTTGTTCTCGAAAATCTGCATGTACCGATACTGCTCCTTTGGCTTGGTGGCGCTTGTTGAGTGGGATGTGGGCTGCAGCGTTGTTGCGGGGGCGTTCTTCACTAGCGGCGAGGTCGGGGACAGGTGAGCTGTGTAGATCTCTGTCCAGGCGTCGATTACGGGTACGATCTCGCGAGGCGCCAGATCGGCTAGGGTAAGGTTGTGCGCGGATGAGAAGGTGAGCACGTAGCATTTGCCAGTTACAGGCTCGGCTTTGAGGAACCGCGATTCGAGTTCTGTGACTTGTGAGCTTGGTACGGTTGTTGCGAATGCGCTAGACGGTTAGACGTACCATCCTGGTTTGAGGGCTCATAGGCCGCTTGTTCTTCCTTCACTGCACTGTAATCGTTTACAAATACGAAAGTGCTCTCGTAATGGGGGTTGGTATCGCCCTGGGCGCGCTCGTTTCCGGGACAGAGGTAGCATTTGGGATCGTAGTCAGGCAGGGTAGTCTTGGAGGGGCTCTCTTGCGCTCCTCTAGATTGTTGTATGATTAGCTGGTTTGTTGTACAATGTCGTTTTATCGCGAAAATACTCACTGCCAGGGACGCTTGGTTCGGTGGGGAGAGACCAAGATAGAGGAGCCACGGAGAGGATTATATCTCCGGTGGGAGATGTCGTCGAGTACGTTTTCCATAGTTATAGATCAAAATAATCACAGGGCAAGATAGCTTGAGAGAAGAATTAAGGAAAGAAAAGAAAAGAAAGAGAGAATAGCTGAGGGTTGAAGTTTGGTGGGGAGGCGGGGTCTCTGGAGTAGGAACGTGTCAGGTTACAGGTGTTAAGCGACGCCAAGTGCTGTATAAAGGCGGATCTCGCCTAATATAAATGTCAAGGCGAGTGATTTGAAGTTGTACAGACAATATACGTTAGCATGCGACGTCTTGGCGTCATTTCCGTCCTGTTTTCTTCGGTGAGCCGTCCAGAAATCGGGATCCCGCAGTTTTCCGGGGAAACATGCGCCTTCGGGGGAGCAATTCTAACCCGAATTCAACCGAAAGAGGTAATTAAGTACCGCAGTTCAATTAAAATCCCGGTCATGGTCCCCACGTGGTGGATTGGTACATAGTGAACTGGCACCAAAAAGCCAAAAAGGGAAATTTACGCCCGCCTCTCACGGTATGACGTTGCTTATCGCTTATCGGAGCTATCCGGGCCGAACTTCGAACCTGGAATGCTGATGGTACGTAGATGTACAACATCAATCGCAACACAGTGTAACTCACATGAACTTGTTATTTGTTGTATTAACATTTAAATGATACTGACCGGCATCGATTAGTCTCTCTTCTTAGCGTGAATGTGAATCAACAATAACCATGTCTATGAAACCCGCCAACCCCGCGGTGACCTTGGACTCGCTACCCAATGAAGTATGTCCACAGAGTATAACATGGGTCAATGGCTCTAAATATGTCTCTAGGTATTTATCCAAATCCTATCCGACTTCTCAACTCGGGCACTGCTCCCACTCACATCAGTCAACCACCGATTCCACGCCTTAGTACTGAGAATCATTCACTACCGTCTACTGCTCAGCACGCCGCTCAGGGAATACGAATTACTGCTAGAATGCTTCCATCCGAGCTCAAAGCTCACCGAGCCACCCGTTTTCTGCAAATATCTCGGTACAGATGGATTAAATGAGCATCATGATTGCGCAGGTTCGTTATACGAGAATGTCGATACTGCCCGCCAGCTGGGTCAAGTGACAGGGCTATATTCGCGCTTCCGGCCAGAGGTAAGGAAGGAAGAAGAACAACCAAGTACAAATGGCTCCAAGTTCGGTTTCTCGCCAGGTAGGACGCTTCTGTTGTCGGGGGTAGTGGGGTTCATACGGGCTGACATAAATGGGGGTCGAGAGGGCAATGGAGGTGATGCAGTGATACGTGAGGTTACTTTGGATGGATATGAGTTTTTCTCTCAGTTATGTGTGGTGGCCAACCTTGTACAAGTCAAGCCGGGGACGTCATTGCTGCTGAGTGCATCGACAATTGAGGACGGAGTAATTCGGTTATGGAGGGAGTGGCTGCGGGATCAAAGTGATGAGAAAATAAAGAAGACTTCTGAGACCGACTTGGAAGACGACCCGGACGAGCCTCGGACGTCCTCCGGCGAGGATATACTGTGGGTGGATATCAGGAAGACCGTTGGGCTGAAAATGCGCGTGCGGCCGAAGGCGTGGGATCCGTCTTTCCCAGTGCTCATACATCAGGATGATCAGAATGATGACTCTTCCGTCGGGTTTGAGGTTATTTTGCAAGGTGAGTCGCTTATACAATGGGGAAAATCCCATGTTGACTTGATAGAACTATACATCCGCTCTACGCGCTTGTTGCTAGCTGTCGAGCAGTCAAAAGAAGAGCAAAAGGTTCAGCAAACCAACGTATTGGTGATTGGGGGTCCCCCCATCTCTGTATATTGAGGACAAGTGGATATATCTGTTCATGGCACCATATAACACACGTGTACATGACAGACTGTATCTGAATGCATATCAAAATTAGGCAGGTCGGGGTACCTTGTCTGTGACTATATTTGGTAGCTTGGGCTCAAAGGCCACTACTAAGCAATGGTTTCGGTGAATAGAAAGAAAAGACGTTAATATGAATGGACTAGTCATATATGTATTCAACATAGAGTGATCATCAGTGCGCGGGGTTCGGCCCAGCCCAGCTTAAATAAATCGCTCTGCTCGCTCCTCATTCTACTCATCTTTCCACCCCTCTGTTGACCCATCTCCTTACTCTAGACAAATGATCGCTTCTTGCTATACTACTTCCTTTTTGTAGGCTCACGATCTTTCCACAATCGGCTGGCATAGATGGAAACACAAATTTCATAAAGTCCTTCGCCGAGACACAGTAACCAAACCAATGAAAACACTCACCCGGCCTGCGACTTCTTCCACAACCACAAATTCACCGAATATCGAGACGACACCGGATACACTAGAACTTCATCTCGTGGTCGATATCGTCGGCCCAGGCTCAAATTCTCAACCCAACACCACATATCCCCCAATGACCCTCAGCCAAGACTTTCCTGAGGGCCTGTGGAAGCGAAGCTTTCAAAAGCTTTCTACAAAACAACAGGAGCAACTTGAAGCTTACCGAGCACAGGAGCAACTCAAATCAAATGCGGAAGCTCCGGAGCCGTCCATCAAAGACCTCATTGATGTTACCAGAACAAAGCAGAAAGAGTGGGAAGACCGTCGATGGGTCTTAAAGTTCCACGGCCACACAATCGTTCCAAGGGACTACATGGATAACATAGTGAATTGCCTAACGGTTGCCGGAGATATTGGTGTCAACTTCGTCCCCAAACCGGCAGACGTTGTTTGGCCTGTGATTAAGGGCGCCATGCAGGTGTGCTCCCTAATTCTCCCATCAGTAAGATGTCAGCGACTCACTACTCAAGGCCACGGCCACTGCGGAAGCTGAAATCGGGGCCACCCTTACGGTTGCCGATTTGCTGGTTCGGTACATCAGTTGTGGAAACGCATATGCGAGAAACTACCTCCCCAAAGCCAAGGATGAGCTTAGAGAGAGACTTGAGTTAGCACTGGAAAACATGTGTATTGTGTGTTTGAAGCTCATATGTGTCACTGTGAAGCAACTACAGCGCCCGACGGCTTTACGAGTCGGTCGGGCTCTTTGGGATCCCGAGGAAGTCCAATCACAGGTCTCTGAATTGGAGCAGTCTTATTCTGCACTACTCGCAGTTACGCAGAATTGTCAAAGTGATCTTGTCGATCAGATCGATGAACGTATCCATCAGTTCGTCAATGATTTTAGCAACTTTGAAACTTTTGTTGCAAAGAACTTTTACATGGTACTGGAAAGACTTGATGATTGGAGAATGACCCAAACACTGGACTGGATCTCTCCCATAAAGGCACAAGACCGACATGACCTCACCAACACGGATCGTTTGCCAGACACTTGCGACTGGCTATTGAAAAACCCCATATTTAGGGAATGGGATATGAGCAGACAGAATGCAACTCTCTGGCTTCAAGGATCTCGTAGGTTTCTCACACTTCTGGGACAATAAAAAGTTTAGTTGCCACGAATAAGAAGCAGGCTAATATCCTCAGTTGGGACTGGCAAAACCTACCTGACATCCAAAGTCATCGAGCAACTTCTCAAAACCACAATGCCCTGGGAGGGATTTGCGTACTACTACTGCAAGCGCACGAGGGGACGGGGTGATGAGAAGCCAGATGATATCATTCGAAGCCTCTTTCGTCAACTAGCAGTTCCAGGCCAGGGCTCTCATATCAGCAAGGATGTTCAGGATCTCTTTCTTCAATACAAAGATAAGACGTCTTCTCCAGATATCAACACATGCAAAGAACAACTTCTCAAGCTGATTAATCAATACGGTCGCACGACCATTGTTCTTGATGCTCTTGATGAATGTGACAAGGTCACAAGAAAGATGTTGTTCAATGTCATTTCCGATCTTGGGACCAAGTCGGAAAAGCCAATGCGGGTATTCTTCTCTGCGAGACCAGATCCAGACATCAGGATGCACTTTCGTGGTCATGCCACAATACACATCCAAGCCACGGACGTCAATAATGATATCAGACTTTTGATTGAAGAAAAAGTGCGAGTCATTCAATGCTGGGATGATATGTCAAGACATGATCAAAAGCAAACCGTTGACAAACTTTGTGAAAAGAGTGCCGGGATGTGAGTTGTTTTGGGTGTACCCATGATCAGGCAGGACGACTGACGATGACATAGGTTTCAATTGGTTAATCTCCAAATCCCATATCTCATGAGCTGCGGCTTGAAACAGGACGTCTTCGCCCAGCTTGATAAAATGCCAGAAGACCTCACAAAGGCCTATAAGGACATTTATGACAGACTAGCCCGGAATCATTTCCAAAAACGGATTGTTGACCGTGCATTCATGTGGGTGATGTGCACATATGAACCGCTCACTACTACACTTATTTTGGCAGCAATTCGTCTTGATGCAGGGGAAGAGGAGCCTCAAGAGAGAATATCCAAAGATACTTTACTGAACCTTTGCAGCAATTTGCTTGTCTGTGATACAAACCAGGACGGTGATAGCTGGGGATTCTCACACGCTTCTGTCGTCGAATTCATCGAAGAAAGATTATGGAGCTTTCGTGATGCCCATTGCTATGCTGCAAAAGTTTGTCTTCGATTTCTGATACGTGCGTATGAAGAGCCGATAGGCGATTTGACTACCGACAATGACAACGCCAATGCAATTTCATCAATTGAAATTCAAGGACAGGGCATATTTCGAAAGGAACACGATTTCCATCGCTATTGCCAATCTCGATGGATTAACCATGTCCAGTATCAAGAACTGAATCAACCAAATGAAGGGGAAAGTTTTGATGGTCAGCTGAGGTGTCTCCTCCGTCAGCTTATGGGATCTCCCACCCAGGGCGGGTCAGTTTATCATAGGTGGCAGCAAGGAATTTTTGAAGACGAACACCTGTTCAGAACAACATTTGTAAAGACCTTACGGGAGATTTTACCGTCAAGTCTGCCAATTCTTGCAATGTCGCGGTTTTCATTCTTTGGCATACTTTCTGACTGGTGGGATAGCTACGAGGTGGTTCCATCACACCTGAATGACGACTAAGAAACTCCCCTCATTCTTGCAGCCAGAGCTGGCTGCTCATCAATATGTGAAAAGCTTATCGAGAAGGGGGCGTTGGTGGATCAACATGGCAAAAAATTCAGTGCTCTGTCAGCTGCGGCATCTTGTGGCCATAATGAGACAGTCCAGTTTCTTCTCAATCATGGAGCTTCAGTAGACCCGCCCACTGATCGGGTCTATTTTGGAAGTGCTCTTGCAGGGGCGGCGTCTGGTGGCTATACGGAGACGGTTCAGCTCCTTCTGGATCGTGGAGCCTCAATAAACCCGCCCGTTGATCAGGCATGTTTTGAAAGTGCTCTTTCAGAGGCGGCACTTGGTGGCCACACATTGATGGTTCATTTTCTTGTGATGAAGGGAGCCTCATTGGATCAACCTCTGCAAGCATACTTTGGAAGTGCTCTTGCACTAACGGCATATATGGGAGATGAACACATGGCCGGGCTTCTTCTCCTACTTGGGGCTTCTGCGGATTTGCGTGTTCCAGGAGAATATGGAAGTGCCCTTGCAGTTGCGGCATACAAGGGTAATGAAAAAATGGTGGATCTTCTCATCAGAGCCGGAGAAGGCTCAGTGAATCTGCTCATTCCAGGAGATTATGGAAGCGCACTCGCAGCTGCGGCATATATGGGCCATGAACAGGTGGTCCGCCTTCTTGTTGATCCCAATGGCTCAAAGGATCTGCCTTATGAATACAAACACGAACGAACTCTCGCTGCTGCGATTTTTGGCGACGAGGACCACGCCCTTTCCAGGATTGCTTCAAAGTTTGAACTCAAGACAAAGAAGGCTTCTGTCAATCTTCGTCTCCAGAGTGGCCTATATGGGAGCAGTCTTGCGGCTTCTGCCGCCAGTGGACATGCTTGGGTAGTCAGGTACTTGATATTTTTTAACGCCGATGTGAATCTTACTTTGACCACGGGAAAATATGGGACTGCTTTGAACGCAGCTTCTTACTGGGGTCAAACCGAATGTGTCAAAATTCTGCTTCGAGCTGGAGCCACTTTAAGTCTTTTCTCGACTCCTGCTACCTTCAGTGATGCCTTTCTGGCAGCTGAAGGGGCTGTTGGCGCCAGGCCTGAACCAAATAAAGGATCGGAGTCAGAATGCTGGGGAAATCGCGATGAGGAAAAAATAATAAATGACAAACATGAGGTGACGAGAATCTTGTACGAGAGCAGGGCTATCTTGCTAGAAGAGGTCGATCGATTTCGAAAAAATCCGTGGCGATGGTAGTTGAATGAAAATGGTATCCTGGTGAGAAAGTGCACCCCCACACTATGATACATGGGTAACAATTTCTCCCTCCTTTCCTTGTTTATCTTCCCTCTCTCCATTCTGCACAATCCAAATCGATCATCTTGACTGTCTTCCATTTTTTTAGTAAACCGAAGATATCCTCATACCCACAATAAGGGATAGAGTCATCTATGGACAAAGTGAGGCCATACTTGGGTTTCTGATCAAAATCTCGGATTGAATGATACCTTCTCTGAACTTAAGAATACCAATTATTTTACAGTTCTGCGGTAACATGGGTTGAGCCGCCGGTAACTTTAGAATCGGTGGGAGAATATGCTGTAAATGATGATTGACAGGAAGCCGTTATATAGATAGTTTAAGGTTCTTGTCCATGGACTATGCCATGCGATCATAAGCTATTTCTCACTATAATCATGTTTTTGAATTCAACAAGGGAGCACAAAGAACGGGCGGCCAAGCTGGACATGAAATCTTCAGGGTCGAAAGAAAGTAGTATACACCGACGTTAAGACTCTCTCATCAGAGGAGGAATAATCACTTGCGTTCAACTTACGCAATTTCTCCAGTAAAAACTTCTCCTACTCTTCCTAACTCTTCTTCAAATCCACGCTTAGGAAGAAGATTAGGAAGCTTGCCAGACGTTGAGCACCGCTTTTTACACCACTCTGTACAGCGTATGGTAAATTGATCAATACTATGATTATCAAGGCTTTTTTCATAGAAATTCCGGAATTTTACTTTTTCTGCCGTCCTAAATTCAGGCATTCAGGCATCCAATCACCCTCAAAGGGGGTTTTGAGCCCAGAGTCCTATAAGTCTTCGTAGGGCGGCCGGGCAATCCAAAGTTACGGGTGGAAAGGCAGCCATTTCTGGCCTCAAAAGCGGTCATTTTCGGTGTTAACACTACAGGTCCTCATTTTCTGGTTGTACAGTTCAAGGATTGATATCTGCCAAGCCATCCAAGCCTTCGGGGAGCCGTGGACATGGCGTCCGGGCCGGCATTGTGCCCAGTCAGGTTGGTCCGGGCCTTACAATGGGCTCCACTGAAAATTTGTGCAACGGCAATAGAATTGCCGAGATATATTCCAGAGACAGTGGGGGAATGAAAGGATTATTCAATTATTAATAATAAAATTCCTGGTAAGAATTCTTAGGGAGATTAGATCAAGCCGAGTAACACCGAGGCTCTTTTCGGTTATGCTTGATATCTCTTTTTCTTGTATCTGATATTCCATTCTCGTCGATCTTGCTATTTTAGCTACAACTTATATCTCGTAGATATACCACCGTTCCACCAAATTGCATAGCTCCCGATCCGAGCCCAGCAGCATGACAGTTCCCACCGACGGGGGCGAGGCCATGCTGCCTTCCAAAATCCCTTTCTGGCGCCTGGTCTTCGATCAAAAGGTCGTCACCGAGGAAGTCATGCAATTTCCATATACAGGCTCAGGCACTGAAGATGATCCATATGCCGTGGTCTGGATCCCTGCCGACCCACGCAATCCCATGAATTTCCCTCCGATCAGGAAGTGGTCTATCACAATCCTGGTATCATTCGTGACTCTCGCAGTGTCATTGGTCTCATCCGCATTCTCAGGCGGAATGAGCCAGATCATGAAGGACTTTGGTGCTGCCCAGGAAATTGTTATTCTAGGAGTGTCGCTCTTCGTGCTTGGTTTTGCTATCGGACCGTTGATCTGGGCACCCCTTAGTGAGATCTTCGGTCGGAGACATATCTTTACCATCTCTTTTATGTTCCTGACTGCTTTCAATGCCGGTGCGGCTGGTGCAAAGAACATTGAAACACTCATTATATTGCGTTTCCTGGCTGGTTCCTTTGGATCTTCGCCCTTTGGAAATGGAGGCGGCACTATTGCAGACATGTTCCCGGCCTCTCAGCGTGGGATCGCGATTAGTCTTTTTGCTGCTGCTCCTTTCTTGGGACCGACCCTAGGCCCTGTGATTGGAGGGTTCCTCGCTACCGCTGCTGGCTGGAGGTGGGTAGAGGGACTCTTGGCTGCGTTCTCGGGTGCGCTTTGGCTATGTATCATTTTCTTGTTGCCAGAGACATATGCGCCTGTCCTTCTACGCCGTCGCGCAGAAAAGATGTCTGCCTTGACTGGCAAAGTCTATCGTAGTCAATCTGACATCGACCGTGGCCCGGCCCCTTTGGGTAAGACGTTGAAGACCGCGCTTTCCCGTCCATGGATCCTGCTATCTTGTGAGCCAATTGTGCTGCTTTTCTCTATTTATATGGCAATCATTTACGGCACACTCTATATGCTCTTCGCCGCCTATCCAATTGTCTTCCAAGAAGTCCGCGGCTGGAGCGAAGGCGTCGGCGGTCTCGCCTTCCTCGGCATCCTTGTCGGTATGCTCATGGCCGTGGTATACACATTCCCTGAGAACTTCCGCTACGCCAAAAAGTGCAGCCAGACCACCGACCGACTCGCTCCTGAACTAAGATTACCCCCAAGCATGGTAGGCGGTATAGCTCTACCAATCGGTTTATTCTGGTTCGCCTGGACCAACTCACCTAGCATTCACTGGATGGCCTCAGTCGCAGCAGGCGCCCCCTTCGGTTTCGGTATGGTCCTCGTCTTCCTTAGCGTGTTCAACTACCTCATCGATTCGTACACGATATTCTCTGCCTCCGTGCTAGCCGCAAACTCTGCCCTCCGCTCACTGTTCGGCATGGCCTTCCCGCTTTTCACAACGTATATGTACCACAACCTGGGAATTCACTGGGCCTCGTCGATCCCGGCTTTCTTGGCGCTTGCGTGCGTGCCCTTCCCGTTCATCTTCTACAAATATGGTGCGCGCATCAGAAAGCGCTGCAAATACGCTTCTGAGGCGGATGCATTCATGCGCCGCCTTGCGGAAAGAAACCAGGCAGCTCGCCGTGAACAGCCTGACTTGGAGAATGATAAGCAGACAGACTCGGTGGTCCTGGTTCCTGCTGATGAGGACTCCAGCGATACTGATACTTTGTCTGCTGTTTCATCTCGTGGTACGGTCGCACGTTATGCGTCCCGCGCGTCTCGGCAGTCAGGGCGGTCTTTACGTCGCATTGCGACTGCGACACAATATGAGGAGAACCCTTACGACTTGGATCTGGTCAATACTCGACATTCGGCTATTAGCCGCAGGGATTGAGCGGAGGGTCGTGGGTGACTTAACTTTTATGCTCTCTCGTATTCCATGAATGCTTCGTGCGATCTCGGCCCAGTACAGTAGCAATTTTATCAGACCATTTCAAAATGGAACGCGGAAATTGTTCTCGGTTTGGTCAACAGACAAGACCACGAACCCCCCCCGGCCGCCTCTGGCGCTGAGTCCTGCCGCACGAGGCACAGCCTAGGGATCTCCAGCTTCCTTTGAGGAAAACGCCAGCAAAAGCCAGACTTGAATATAAGTTTGAACACTCTTCGATTCTAGTCAATTTTGAATCGCTACTAAGTAGCGATCCTATTCTGACATGTGTTGGGCCGGCGCAAACTGCAAAATCATTAGCTATTCAATATACCCTAATTTTAATACATTCAAAAGAAGCCATATCGGCTTTCAACTTCTGTTTTGTTTTTAAAGTAATATAATATCACAATAACGCCAAGCGCGACAGTAGAGAGTTGACAATTTGGACGAATTAAATTGATCACTCATCATCGGCCTGGGCACCTCGGTCCATCTCCACCTCGGCCCCAACGTCCTCACTATATACTCCGTATGATCATCTCATCTTTTGCTGACTTACCTACACCTCGCGGTAATACTGGATTAAATAGAATATAATTATTGATCCATAATTATTCGTCATGTCTGGCAAGATTGACGCCTACGTTGACTGCGGTATGCAAGCCCCCAGCCCCACCCCCCTGTATCGCGCCTTGAAGTCCATTCGTTAACGGCCGTTTCGACAGTATCGCCATACTCGTACTATGCGACAATTTATCTACGGAAAAACCGCAAAGCTCTAGAGTCGCATGGGGTCGAGGTTGAGTATGCGCATCCCTGGTTGGCACATGGGATATTTGCTAACCGGACAGATTCCACCCGGTCTTTTTAGGCGGGATTAATGTTGGCTCAGGTATGCATTATCCCAAACATCATTCGGATTGCATTATCAAGCATTATCAATTAATAGAGCTACTCACACTTTGAACAGGCAACAAGCCCCCTTGGACACTCCCTGCCAAAGCAGCGTACTCCAAATTCGACTCGGAGCGAGCATGCAAATACTTTGGAGTCCCGCAGACCCAAACACCAGATTTCTTCCCGATCCTCTCAATTATGGTGAGTATTATGCTTTATATATTTTGGCATGCTTCTCCGTCACTAACCGACTAGCCTCAACGATGCATGATCTACATCAAGAAGCACTTCCCACGCGAGAGATACGAAACAACTTTCCTGTTGCTGTGGGAGTGGATGTACTACAAAAATATCGACATCAGCAAGCCGGAGAAACTAGCTGAGCTAATCCAGAGCAACGGGTTCTCCGACTCGGAAGTCAAGGAGATCATAGCCGCGGCGTCATCCCCGGAGATCAAGCAGGCTTTGACAGATAATACGCAGACTGCTCTTGATACGGGGGCTTATGGTGCGCCGTGGTTTTGGGTACGGAATGCTGAGGGTAAGGAGGAGCCATTTTTCGGTAGCGATCGGTAGGTCTTATGTGGTCTCTGTGCTCTGTGCGATCGATAGATGCTAATCTGTTATAGGTTTGCATTTATGTGGATGTATCTCGGATTGCCGTTTCAAGACGTTGCGATCATTGAAAAAGAGAAGTCAAAGCTTTAGGGTGGCTATGACCTGGTGACATGTTGAATATCAGATCTTATCAAGTTCAGATTCCTATTGTTCTACTCCGTAGCCTCTTCTGGAGTTATTCCACTCCCAGACCGTCAAATATAATCAATCGGCAAGACTATTGCCAAGAGACGGCTCACGCACTCAAGGGAAGTTCTTGGCCGTCATTGATCACCTCTTCCCATCATGTTCAGAGATCTCCACATGAAAAGTTTTTGCGTGTTATAGCAGAACCCCCGTGAAGAGCTATTTTAATACAGGTAAACGCGCTACAGCTGATTTTTATACAGCTGGCTCTTTTCGGCGTCTTTTGTCCACATTACTCGTATCGCGCCCGAAACGGTCGCTCATTGCCCTAACGACCGGCCCCCAACTTTTAGCTGCTTATAAGTCAAAGATCAGCAACAGATATTCGGAGTAATATGGAGTATTTAGCCTAGTTTTATGCACCCCCCTGAAGACGTGACACGGCTCAACTACGGGCGACCAAATGTGTCATGTTTGGGCAAGGATTAATCGAGCCTCATCCACTATTTTTAGCCTTCGTCTTCGCCTTGGTTGCTAGGCTCTAGCTTATATTCTACTCATTTTCAGAATATTCTGTCTGGAGTTTTCTCTCCTCAAAAAGCTTTGAGACAGTCGGAGCAGGTGTCTCAACCGGCAGAATGTCAGGTATGGCTTCCTTCGAAGATATCGAATTACTACCGGTTCCACGTCACTCCTACAGTGCAGAGCGTCTCATTCAGAATGTACCGAAGGAGAGCTCAGGAGAAGGCACGGAGAAATCCTCATTGAGAGAAAAACAAACTAAATTTGAGAACAAACCCCATCGAGGCAGCGATCGGTTCAAAGGCTGGAAATTCACCCTATTTTTAGCCTTCATCACGAGCTTGGTCGTTCTATCCTTCAATTTGGGCTTTCTGGTCTACACTACGACGCATTCGCAAAAAGACGACATAAAACGTTACACTTCTCAGTATCAATGGGAATACCATGAGCTAGGAGAACACCATGACAGAAACAAAGTTCTATATGAAGGCGACTGCGAAAAGGTGCATCACTTGAGCATCGGACTTCATCTACTCGTCAACTCATTGAGTACTTCTCTATTGAGTGCCAGTAATTACGGAATGGTAGGTGTATCTGCATGGACAATATGCTAGAACAGTAAGCTGACATGTTCTTCCAGCAATGTTTAGCTGCCCCTACACGACAAGCTATAGATCGAGCACACCGCCAGGGTTCGTGGCTCGATATTGGCGTGCCGAGTGTGCGCAATCTGTTTCGGGTATCTGTAGGGCGTTCATTATTGTGGATATGTCTGGTGTCCTCATCACTGCCCTTCCATTTGATGTATAAGATCACCCATCTCTTGACACTATCAGTGTAGCTATTAACTCGGTATCCTAGATACAATTCGGCAATCTACGAAACAACTGCAGCCTCTGCCTACGACATCTTCGCTGGCAGCGGATCTCTCACACAACAAAATTCGTCCGATCTGCTGTTGAAAGGCTCCGACTCACCAAGTAAGAGCCGGTCACTCTATGACCTTTCCACAGCACGAAATGATACAGTGGAATATCTAAATAAGACTGACTGTCTCAACGCATTTGGGAAAACCTACCAGTCCGCATATAGAAAGCTCCTCCTAGTGGATACGAATATAACAGACAACAACACATACACCCTTGTCGGTACCCAGGATGTCTTTAGCCCGCATGAAACATTTTTCGGTGGATATCCAGGACCATACGAATGGCTATGTCCCCTCAGCTGGGAAGAGACCTGCAGCAGCTCATACCTCCCCATCATCCAAGCGAAAATCGCCAATAATACTTGGACAGTACAGGACCGGGGTCCTAGCTCTGGCTCCCACAAAGTAGACTCATGCTTGGCTGAGAAAGCACCGCAGTACTGTAAACTGCAGTATTCATTGCCTCTCACTATTGTGGTCATTGCGTTCAATCTCGTCAAAACCGCCGTCTTGCTCTATATGTGGCTCGGGATGACCGATGCTCCTATTTTGACAATTGGCGATGCCGTGGCTTCCTTCCTACGTTGTCCGGACCCGTACACGCAGGGTTGCTGCCTTCTCACCAAAAGCAAGGTCGAATCCAGCGACCAGTCCCAATCAAAGTGGCGCAGTCTAGCGCCATTTGCTGAGAGGCACAGGACATGGAGCTCGGCAGTCTCTTCTCGACGGTGGGCATTCAGCATAGTACTGTAAGCCAAACATATAACTTCCATTATCTTGATGTCAGTCAGTTTTAATCATTTCCTTTCTAGCTGGATTCTCGCCATCACCGTGTCCCTTAGCCTACTGGCATATGGCCTCTCACAGATCGGATCAGGCGTCAATATCTGGAAACAACAACTCGGCACCATCACCGCTGACACCTTAATCAAAGGAGGTATCTGGCCTGACACTTTCCTTGCTAATGTCCTTATCGCCAACGCCCCACAACTCATATTCTCATTCCTCTACTTCGCCTTCAACGCCTTGTTAACTGCAATGACCCTCGCTGCCGAATGGAGTAGCTACGCAACCCACCATAAGGGCCTCCGTGTCTCGAACAATCCCCAGCTCGCCCAGCGCAGTAACTACTTCCTCTCGATCCCATATCGCTATGCAACGCCCCTCATACTAGTTTCGGGTATTCTCCATTGGCTGATCTCGCAAAGCTTGTTTATGGTCGGGGTCGAGGCTTTTGACTCAGATATGGTGCGCAATCCACCGCGGGATGTAATTACGTGTGGATACTCACCTGTTGCGATCGTTTGTTCTATTGTGGTTGGTGGCTGCATGTTTGCTTGTATGGTTGGACTTGGTCTCCGAAGCTTTAGTTCTGTGATGCCCGTGGCAGGAAGTTGTAGTTTGGCAATTTCTGCCGCTTGTCATCCGAATTTTGATCCTAATTGGGGGGAGATGGGCATGGAGAGAGGAATTCGGAATGTGAGGATGAGGATATGGCGCTTTTGCCTGTTAAATGGGGTGTTGTTTCGGTTGGTCCTATACAACACTGTACTTTTACATCGGAAGAAGTCGATGAAGCTATGATAGGCTCACAATATCAGTGAGAGGATATGTGCCCTTAACATGAGACCCTACTCCATTCGGGTATATGGTCTTACGGCTAGACGTAGACTAACATACCTTTTTTTGAGGGATACTCATATAACGATCATATTAGAAACACATTTCCAACACATCGAGAGCAGAGATCTATGTGGTAAACTGACATGGTTACTTCGCGATGTAGTATACTTCTTCCGTAACCGGCTAAGCTCTAACCCACTGTACCCCACACTATAAAGTTCCCGATTATCCCGATACTTCCATCTTACACAGTCCTCTATCATATTCACATCTATCAGATACATACAATAGCAATCATGACCGCACCTAGAGTCGCATGGATCGGCCTCGGCAACATCGGTCGTGTAAGTCACCTCCCACATCCTCATCCTCATCTCCATCCCCCCGCATTCCAAAGACCACCCCAATCTAACCCACTATATAAGGGCATGAGCCAAAACATCTCCAAAAAAGGCCCCCAAACCGGACCCCTCCTCCTATACAACCGCACAACAGCACGAGCAACAGCCCACGCCTCAAACCTCCCCAACACCAAAGTCGTAACAACCCTCGCCGAAGCCGTAACACAATCCGACGTCATCTTCACCTGTGTCGGCGATGACGCAGCTCTAAACTCAATCGTCACGGCAATCCTCTCAGACCCCTCAATCCCGCAAGACCTATCAGACAAGACCTTCGTCGACTGCTCAACCGTGCACCCCGATACATCGCGCCATACCGAAACAGCGTTCAACGCACGGGGAGCTGGGTTCGTCGCGTGTCCTGTATTCGGGGCACCGAATATGGCGGATGCGGGTCTACTCATTGTCGTTCCGGCCGGGAAGCGAGCGGCGATTGAGAAGGCGCGGCCGTTCTTCGACGGGGTCGTTGCTAAGAAGACGATTGATCTTTCTGCGGGGAAGGGAGGGGATGTTGATGTTGGACGGGCTTCTACGCTGAAAGTATTGGGTAATACGGTGATTCTCAATACTGTGGGTGTTCTTGCGGAGGCGCTTGTTGCTGCTGAGGCGTCTGGACTTGGGGTTGAGCCGTTGCGGGAATGGTTGGGGATCTTTGCACCGGGGCCGCTTTCTAGTTATGCGGAGAGGATGGTTGGTGGGGATTATTGTACTCGGGAGGAACCGTTGTTTGCGGTTGATCTTGCTCGGAAGGATCTAGGGCATGCGTATGGAATTGCGAAGGAGGGAGGTCTGCGGATGAAGAATGTCGAAGTTATGGATGGACTTCTGGAGGTGGTTAAGGAGGAGAGGGGGGCTAAGGGAGATGTTGCTGCTGTTTATGGGGCTGTTAGAAAGGGAGCCGGGATGGAATTTGGAAATCAATAAGAGCGGAGGATTATTGAGAAAGTATTATCAATCGGATAAAAAGAAATAAGATTGCTAAAACAAGGCTTGCTCGTAATGCTATTAAATCATGGTCTCCCTTAGGATATGGTGGAGACTCAGCTAATCAAGGAGTAGAGTTAATTATCAACACAGAATTTTGAAGGAAAAAAAGGCAACCACAGAAATGATGCGCGATACGCGCTATGCTGTCAGTCATCATCACATTACTCCTCGCGGATTTCGTGAGTGTCGTCGTGGTGCTGGTGCTCGCTGAGGCCAGCCTCACCCGCCTTGGGACCCTGAATGGAAGCTCGGTGCAGGTCGGCAACGATGCCCTCGGGAGGGACCCAGCTAGAGGACTTCCAGGGCTTGACGTGAAGAACGTACATGGTGTCGACCTCCTCGAGGGACCGGCCCTGGGTCTCGTTGACAAAGAAGAAGACAACGAGAATGGCGAGGAAGCAGCAGGCAGCGAAGACGTAGCCGTAGCGGAAGTCGATGGTGTTGGAGATGAAGGGGGTGAAGAAGGAGATCAGGAAGTTCCAGGTCCAGTTGGCAGCAGTAGCAACACCCATGCAGACAGCACGGTACTTGAAGGGGTACATCTCACCACAGATAGCCCAGACAATAGGACCCCAGGTGGTGGCGAAGCCGACAATGAAGAAACAGGTGAAGACAATCATGACAACACCGGCAGAGTGGTTGGAGGGGTCATCGTTCAGGATCTCGTGGCCGACGGAGGCCCAGACCATGAAGCAAATGAACATCCAAGCGGCACCATACATCAGGCACTTGCGGCGACCATAGTGCTCGACGATGTACAGACCGGGGAGGGTCATACCGAAGTTAACAGCACCGAGAATGATGGAGGTGACGTAAGAGTTGTCAAGACCGATACCCTGGAAGATACTGGTTCCGTAGTAGAAGATGAAGTTCGCACCGGTCAACTGTTGCAAAGACTGCAGAGCAATGCCGAGCAAGATACGGTGCATCATGCGGGGACCGGTGAAGACCTCTTGCCAGGGAGCGTCGCCATGGGCAAGCTCCTCCTCAAGCTTCTGCTTCATATCGGCCATCTCCTGGGCAACGACACGGTGGTTTTGGGGGACACCGTAGAGCTTGCACATGACATTACGGGCCTCTTCGGTACGACCGTGGCGGTAGGCGAAACGAGGGGACTCGGGCAAGAACAAGGTACCGATACCAAGAATAAGGGGCCAGGCAAAGCCAATGCCCATGGTGATGCGCCACGAGGCGTCATTGTCGAGACTCTCAGTGCCGAAGTTGACAATATAAGAGATAAAGATACCGAAGGCGACGAACAGCTGGAAAGCACTGACCATGGCGCCGCGGACCTGGCGAGGTGCAGATTCCGACTGGTACATGGGGACGACACTGGAAAGGGCACCGACACCCAAACCAGCAACCCAACGACCGAGAGCAATTTGGTACCACTTGTCGGTAGTAGCAATCTGCACAATAATACCGACGATGTGGAGGAGGGCCCAGAAGGAGATGGAGAATTTGCGACCAATGCGGTCCGCAATGGGGGCAGCCACCAGGGCACCAATCATAGTTCCGATAGAGAGCTAATAGAGTTTAGTATTCTATAACTTGCATGTTTTGGGGAGTTCAACGTACCAGGCCAACAATCAGACCGTTGCGAACGTTGCTGAACTCATATTCTCCAGTGGCGGCATTATGCTCGGCGAAACGTTGCTTGAAGTCAACCATAGTAGTGAAACCCGAGATTTGACCTAAGATGGGTTAACAACGTTGCATCCATTGTGAAAGGCTGGTGTAACACTTACCAGTAGAGTATCCGAAGATGAAACCACCCATCGAGACACACAGACCCAGGATAAACGAACGCCATGTCAGGTACTTGACAGGGCTATCATCCAGAGTAAGATCATCCTTCTCGGCAGTAGTCGAGTCCGCACGAGCCGGAGTAGCGGCCTGGGAAGAGAATTGAGATTCAGACTTCCCAGGCTTTATCTTATCCATAAAGGTAGAGATACCCATATTGAACAGATTCAAAAATAAATAGAAGGTTGAGAAAAGAAAGGGGAAGAAGGAAAATGGAGGAATTAAATAGTCCCCTTGGGAAGGCTCTTTGGGGTACCGTGGATACCAGGTACAGCAAAAAACGGGGGCCCGGATCTAGTCCCAGGTTTTTTTATGTAAATGCGGATGCAATGGGGTGGTAAGTTGGTAAATTTCACTCCACAGACTAGGAAAAAGTCTGTTTCGGTCTTTTTCAATCTCTAGCGTCATGTACTCCGTGTTTAGGTACCTTTCCCTGGAGAAGGGGAATCTTAGGAATGCACGTGAACGGAATACATATGCTATATTGATACGGTATAATGTGTTCTGTTCAGATATGATATTGGGTATGCCATTGCGTTGATGCTTCCTAGATATCCAAAGCTACTCTGTATACTCCGATGGAAAGAACAATAAACACGGAATACATAAAATCTCACTGATCACCCGACCTTCTTGCCACCTTCTAGAAACATGCGGGACAGCTACATAGTCTGGGTCCTCGCAAATGTACGAATGAGAATACAGTGCCTGAATAGCCGGATTATTTCCACGTAACGATGACCATGACACCTGGAGACTTATGGTTCAGATTCCTAGCTACGGAGCACAATATCAATAAATCACTCATGTCTACTAAAGTGACGTATATTCATAGGGGATCTCCCTTAGATCGGGTCCTGGTGCCGGGTTTTCTACGGGGAGTACCGGGATATGTATAGATTGAAAACTGTGCGAGCATGCAATTTACTCTACAACCTTGGAAAAGTCCAAATGGAAATGAAAGGCAACTGAAACCGGGTGGACTCTCCAAGAAACGAAAGTAAAAACCAGAAAAAACAAAAACAAAAACAAAAAAAAATGGAATACCAATAAAAAGGGAGAATGCTGGTTTACCGAGTGGGTCATAGATGCGTGGACACTGCGCTCTACCCGGTCAAAGGGGCGCTGATCATACTTAAAATTGAGAGCTTAAGAACATCTGATTGCAGTATATAGCTTATCTATAGACAGACCGGGAAAAAGAAGCTTCAAACAGAGAGGGAGGCAGTCCCATTTATATCTTTGAACAGATTCCAATGACTCAAAACGTGCTGATAAGAAAGCTCCCAAGTTGGACATGTCTAAACAGCGTAGACCCACTACCGGTGAGGCTTCGGTCGACTCCTACGCAGAGATTTCCGATCTGTTGATTTTTGGTCCCCACTTTTTCTCAATCGGCACACCGAACGTGCTTGCTATCCCGAGCCGATAACAATCCCGACTACAATCCCGAGTCGGGCTGCCGACCCTGGCTGAAAACATCCATGGAACCACACAACACCTTGTGCAATATATGGCCTCAAATCTCACAAATATTTACAAACACTTGTTGAATACTGAACTCTAGCATGATTCTATTCTCCTATGATTGTTTGCGTTTTGTTATGTTCGGCATGTCTTTCTCGGCATCCCTTGTTCGGCTTAGACCCATAAAAAATTGCCCCTAGAAAAAAAACTCTGACTGCAAGTGCCCAGGTGCCAATCCCCTGCCAATGGATATTATTAATAGCTAGGGTCAGACCACCAAAAGAGAAAAGAGTAAAATCTCTGTGGGCACTCTAAACCTCCTCCGGTTAGCCTCCGACTGAAAAATGGGAGATAGGAAAAATAGACCCAATCACCATTCATTTCACCTTAGTGGCATCTACCTACATACATATGTACATCTCATGTACCCGAGCTGATTTTTTCATGCTATGCTACATTAGACTAGTTTTTTCGGGCAAGCCCGGAAGACTTTGTGTACTTTGTATGCTGTAAGTAGTACAATTTACAATCCGTCCATAGAATAGGGAGTGTAAAATTCTTAGGTCCTTGTAACAAGTCATCCTCACGAATCCTCATGATGTCTGATTTAAGAATCCAGGACAGGGATTTAGAGTTTATGTGATAATATCAGATCCTCACACTCTATAAGATTATATGAGTGAACCGCAATGTCTTGAAACAAACCAAAATTGGACACGAATAATGCCTCATCCAGGAAAGTCTAGGCACCTAATCTAATATTCCAAAGCCACAGTGGTCCTACAAAGAACCATAATGACGTCTAGTAAGTCTGGTGTAGGTTGCATTAATACTTATGTGCAGCATATGTACCACAAAGCCTCCTAAACAGGCAACCCCGCCTCCCTCAATGAGACGCAATGGCTGTATTGCACCGGGTGGCAATGCTTGTCTCTAGACCAACTTATCGGAAAGATGCAGCGAGGGAAATGGCGCTTTGTTCTTGTTTGGCACATGTTGCATGCCGTCATTACTCCGTATCCCGTGCTCGGTTAGTAGCCGACCTCTGGAGAGACGCTATCTGTCCCACGTCAATAATCGGCACTGGTACTATGATCTGCTCTAATGTAACAGTATTGATGGAATTTTCTTACAATGTATGGCCCAAATTATGCTTACAATATGGAACATATATTATCATCGCTTAGATGATAGATCTCAAGTCAACCGAGCTATCGTACTGTCTACATTTGTACAAATCATTCCTGCAGAACTCTAGACTACATTCTCTAGCTAAGTCCTATATTTTATTTACCTCGTAATAAGAACATTTGTTGTATGCTTATTTCGGTGCTTGCTATCCTCACACATTCCTTCGTTCTATCACATGGTATGGTTAGTCATTTTGTCAATCTGTACTACGCAGATGCCGGGCTATCCTTAACAAATCATCAAAATCATAGAAAAATCATATGATGAAGAATTGCTATTGACTATCAGCCCACAAGTCAGTAGATTCCCTTGTTGCACATCATCCAGTTCCCGGCGACACTAGCACGAGGATCCACCCGTCTACCCGCCAGGGAGTTAGCTACAATTACAATCTACTGCAAACGGGAAGGCTGATTAATAATGAAGATCCTAAAGAGACTTTGAGTCTCCAAAATGTAGTAGAGATAAAACCA